GTTTTCCCCTTTGCTTTGGCCTTTGCTTTGGCCTTTGCCTTTGCCTTTGCCTTACTTTTAACCCTGGTTTTCCTTGTTGGCTTTTCCTCCTCATCATCGTCTCCTTCCTCACCTTCCTCCTCTGAACCTACTGCCTTCAGTTGTTCTCGGAATTCTCTCTGGTCTCTCCGTGTCACAGGTGAGGCTGCGGCAACGATGTCCATAGGCGATGGGCTCGTTGGCTCACCTTTGGCTTCAACTTTGGGTTCAGCTTTTGGCTCCATTGTTGTTTCAACTTTTTGTTCAGGTCTGTTTTGCAGTTCCTTTGTGTCAGGCTTGTGCGGCTTGGGAATGCCATAGCGGGCACGAATCAACAAGCCCATGGCTTCGGGCAAGGATCCCCTGGCTTTCACCAAAGCTTCCTCAGCCATCTCTTTGGTAAACCCTGTAGCCATGATCACTCGGACATCATGTTCCAACATCACAACTGGACACTTGAAATTTTTGTCAAGACATCCCGGTAGCACTGGCGGAGTGGGAGGTTCAAGTTGCTTTCCCTGAAGGTCATCCATAGCATCCTTTGGGTCCGGCTCAGTTGGGAAAGGTGTCTCAGTGGTCCTATCATCATGCTCTTGACTCTTGTTGCGTGTGTCCTCTTCCTGAGGAACTTTGGGAACTGGTGGAGATGGGGGATAAGCAACATGGACAGCTTCCCCCCCATGTGTACTACATGGCGAAGCTTCAGCAGGAACATACCGAAGGGTGGCATCATGGTCATAGGGCTGTGTTTCCTCCGCGCTGCCCCAACACTTCTTGCCCAGCAACACGACACGCCTCTGCTGCATTTGCTGCCTCAGCGTAAGCGAAGAGCAAAGGAATTTGAATTTGTTTTTTGGGTTGATTTAGTTTTCCCTATTGATCCTCACTTGAAATTTCAAGGGTACCTAGGGTAGGAAACAAAGATTTGCATCATCAGAAAAACTTAGCTGCTCCAAAAACATCACACGTGAACGTACAGAGTTCATAAGCTCTTCCGGCACAGGCCCATTGACAGACGACGGTAGCTCAATCTGTTTCGGTGGAGTTGAATCACCTGGACCCTTGCACCAAGCACTCTCGAAGTCTTCACTGGGGCTGGGTGTTTTTCTGAGGTCCCCCCCCAAAGTCCAACAAAGTTTCTCCTCTTTTCTGGCCATCACAGCGCTAGGGTCACTTTCTTGGGGGCTGATTGCGGCGTACACATCATGCAAGCAAACAGGTCCCGCTTCTTCAAGTTCACTCTCTTGACTTTCCCCACTCTCAACCCCCGCTGCCCCAGCATCTTGTTCCTGACAATCCTCAAGACTCTCGGCTGACTTGCTCCCCGCTGGGGGAAGACGGATCTTGGGTTCGAAGTACTGCGCCAAGTAATCATACAGCTTCTTCAGTTCTGGATCCTTGGGAAAATAAATAGAACAAGGAAACATAACAGAGTCCAAAATCTTTGTTGCAATCAACTTTCTTGATGTTTATAGTGAGCCATAATCTGTGAAAGTGAAATAAAATGCAGGCGATGTACTTGCCGTTTGTGGCCATCATGTCTGCGAAAGCACAAGGTCACAAAGCCACGAATGGCTGTAGCATCACAACGAATGGCAGCAACTTCAGTCCTCAGCTTCAGTTTCTCCCTGAAAACCATCACCTGGCGCGCTGCGCTATTCGGTTTGTAATGCTTAATTGGGCACAAGCACTGCTTTGAGCAATTTTGAATTTATACCCTGTTTGCCTGGCCTCGGGTTCAACCGTGTGGATATTGACAGTCTTCAACTTCTCGGTGAGTTGGGGTACCCATTTTTTCAACACGTGCAGCACAACACTGGCATTGTCTGCCAAAGTGTGCATTGTAAATGTCCCGGCTAGCTGGGGTGTAGGCCACTTTAAGAGGCCCCCAATGGCCAGGGCACGAGTCCTAACTTCTTCATCACGCTCAAGGTCACTTCCTAGGCCTTCCAAAGTAAAACACTTAGGAGGGTCCGACATGGGCCCAAGGACGGTCAGCAACCGTAGCCCAACTGCAGCAGGTTTGGTCCACTCAAAAAGCTACGAAATAAGTAATGTTGACTCATGCCGTCTTGATATATCCAAGTGGAACAGGCTCCCTCATTCGATCATTGTCCAAATGTGCTGATCCAAGGACTGGTGGGACCCATGGGGCACTTCTTGATGAGGCAGGCGGGGCCTTCCAGCCTCAGCGGATTGAAAGAATGATGTGGGAACAGTCTAAGTATAATTATATTTCTGCGTATTTACATAAGTTTACTGTTTACATGTTCTTCGGGTTGGAGAAGAGAAATCGAAACTTGAGAAGTGAATTTCTGCTGAGATCTCGGCCAGCCAAAGAGTTGCCACAGGGCTCATCGCCCACTGACCTGGCAAGTTGATAAGGGGGGGAAATCCTGGATACCAATTTGCCTCACGTGAGGAAAAACCTAACAAGCACACTCGCGCACCCTGACCTTCAAAGTGCCAATGGTCAGCATGCCAGAAGGTGGTTTCACCTGCGTGGGGCTGAGGCTTTGAGCTTACAGTAGGCACCCCATAGAAAAAGAAGATAGTGTGCAGGGCTTTTCCTAAGGCATAACTGACTGAGTTTTTCTAAAGCTCGCTGGCCTGTGTTGGTCACCTTTGGTCAAACTAAACCCAGTCTAAGCTACTTTGTGGCATGATTTGCGCCGCCATCTAAATTGGTTTCCTCAGAGCCCTTGTGCTCAGTCATCTGTTCCTCTTTACCTCAGAATGAGGCTGACTAGATGGCTGTAACCTTCAAACATAAAAACAAAAACGAACACAGTGGACAGAAGGTGAATCTGTGGCAAGTTACGCTCAGCCTGCCAATCCCAAAGGACCTGGGCGAGAACCTTGATGTGACCACCATCCTTAAAGTTCTGGGCCATAGCTGCTGCCTTGTCCGGTGACAGGGTCGCCTGGGCAAAGAAAGGGGAAGACCACAGCTAGAAGGCATGTATTCCCACCAGCTCAACATGTGCATTGTGATGCCATGTGTGCATGTCAAAAAATAATGCTGGAAAGGGTCAGTTGGTGTATCCATTGGCCATAGCACGAGTTGGGCTTGTTCATACCACTTATCCGGCATCTTATCTAATCCAACTTTTTTCAATTCCTCCATCTTGAGGATTCACCTTATCCACTGCGCTTTGAGCAAGAAAATGCTCCAACGGGCAGGTGGCAGTCACTTCAGCTCAAAAACCTTGGTGTTCACAGCAAGCAAATTTGATTGCAATGCTTGTAGAGCAAGGGATGGGCGTACCTTCAATCCCAGGTAGTTCCAGGCTGTCAAACATGATTCGGGGGCATACCAAACATCTTGAGATTCAAATGCCTACGTCAAGATAAATTTGCCGAGATTTAGAAACTTCCGGGTGAAAGTGCCGAGGAAGCTGCCTAGGCGCCGAGGGCAGAAAAAAGTGCCGAAGGGTTCTTCTAGGTATATACATATCTATATGCTATATTAAGAATGTGAAATCCCCAAATGGTTGATGGATTGGTTTTCATGGTTCAAAAAGATTGCTTTTCACAACGTCTATTCAGGAACACTAAGGATAAGTAACAAAAAACAGATGGGTTAAACCAATCTAAAGTACGACATAACTAAGTAACAAATTTGATGAACAATGTATGTTAATTAATTTAAGGCGGCAAAAACGTAAAGTATGTATGTTCATATACATAAAATCAAAAACCACTGGTTTTCATCAAATAATTTTGGGCTGTCGTGCGTTTGTGCACCAAGCTGATAGGATCCATCTCGTGAATTTCAGAACGAGATCGGCTGTTTTTCACTGAGGGTCGTCCATGAGGAGATTCAAAATACTACCTGGCTGTAGAAGGGATACGGCATTACCCTCTGGTAAACTAACATACCTATGGAAAATCACCATTTTTAATGGGAAAATCCACTATTAATGGCCATTTTAAATAGCTACGTTAAATTACCAGAGGGTAGATTCATCAACATGTCTCTTTAGCAGGCCGAAATACTGCATGGCTGTACAGCACTACTTCCAGAAAAAGAATTCTTTTTTAAAAGCCAAAATACTGCATGCTGTAAAAGGGATGCGGCATTATGTACATGAACATGTCTTCGTTAGCCGAAGTACTGCACGGTTTGTGAAACGGATCCAGAGTTTGGGGGATGAACACGTGTAACATCCTTTCTTTAGCCAATAAGTTATATCAACAGGTTGTAAACGGGATACAGCATGAAAAAATCATCAACATGGTCAGCATAATAAAACTGCATGGTCAACAGTAAACTTCATGGTCAGCATAATCATAATAATCATAATAATAATATATAATAATAATAATAATGAAACAACACTAAATTCATCAACATTTCAGCATTTCTTCTTCAGAAGAAGGCTATGCTGGGGGATTTTTTGGATCTTCGGATGCTGGAGGTCTGCTGTGTATCGTTCCGGTGGTCCTCTGTTAGGCCCTTTAGGCCATGTTGGCCCCGATCAAGACATGGTACGGTATATGGTCTATGGTCATCACAGCACTATCTACAAAATGGGTTTATAAATCTATAGATGGTCTAATTCCTTCCAATAGCTTTATACATCTATAAATATCATATTCCGATACCACCATATACAAAAACAAGCCAATACATTGGCCATGATAATTTCCCTTCATGGGGAACTAAGTCATCAAAAAAAACATGTTACATGTGCTAGGATCAAAACATTGTATATGGTTTCTGGTCATCCATCCCATATTGGGTCCTTATCATGGATACAATATCTATATATACTGTATATCTATATCTGGTTGGTGGTTGACATATGTACCCCTCTGAAAAATATTAGTCAATGGGAAGTTGAAGGATTATCCCATATATTATGAAAAAACAAATGTTCCAAACCACCAACCAGATATCTAATCCCTACGAAAATGGATTGATGATTGATTCCCTTCCCAGGGACTTGGGATTTTCCTACCGTCCCAGCATATCCCACCTGCTGGTTACTTTGCACGGCATGATCCAGAGCGGTTTGGCCCATCTGATCGCTGCAGTTCAGCGACATCTGGGGTCTTAGCTCCAACAAACGTTGAATCACCTGCCGTGGCGCCATGGCCGGGCTGAAAGAGCCTGGATGTTGCTACGAAAAACATCCGAAAACATCCAATTCAGAAAACTTAAAAGTGGTAGGAATTGTGCTGGATCTCAAGATATCACACCATATCAAACCTCAAATTCCAGGTTAAAAAAATGTTTTTTTTTACACCACCGAGTTTTGGCTGTTGGACATCACTTCTCCTCACCTTCAGGTGGCCGGCTCTGGCTGCACACATCAAGGGCGTTCGACCTGTCGAGATGGCTGGGAGTCCAGCCATTCTGACATTCCCATGACGGATCCATGGTGCTGGTATGCTAACATGACTGGGGTATATTGATGGTAAAATCCCAATGTTAGATTTCACATTCCCGCTCCAGCTCAAAGGTACGTGTCTCCCTCAAAAAAATTGCTTTTCCCTAGATCTAGTATATTACATGGTTGGGATTGCATAGGTGTATATATATATGATGAAGCTCAAAGCTACCTTGCTGGCTCACTGCCTCCTTGCTAGCTCAAAGCTCAAAGCTACCTTGCTGGCTCAGTGCCACGTAGCTGGCTCAGTGCCACGTAGCTGGCTCAATGCCACGTAGCTGGCTCAGCGCCTCGTAGCTGGCTCAGCGCCACGTAGCTGGCTCAATTTTTTTAGCGAAAAAAAAAAAAGAAAAAAAAACTCGCAGAAATTGAGCCGGCTACATGCCCTTGAGCCGGCTCGCCAATGCGTCATGAACCCGGCCAATACATAGCTAGTATTCGTTTTGATGCTCTCACATTCGTCCGCCAGCTCAACGTGACGTAGCTGGCTCAATTTCTGCGAGGTTTTTTTTTTTCTTTTGTTTTTTTTTCCGCTAAAAAAATTGAGCCAGCTCGATGCCATTGAGCTAGCTCGATGCCCCTGAGCCAGCTACGTGGCATTGAGCGAGCTCGATGGTGCTGAGCCAGCTCGTTGCAGTTGAGCGAGCTCGCAGAAACTTCCCAATCTGTTAAATTGCATTAAATTGCCAGGTTCAATCCCCACTGATTACTTTAGTACTAGATATGGTACCTCTGAAAAAGCCCAAGGTGACTGTCAAAACATACCCCTGATGAAATTGAGCCAGCTACATGTTTTGAGCTAGATCGAAAAAATGGAAGATTGGGAATTCCAACATTCAAAAAATATGGGATCCATGGCACACCATATATATATATATAACATACATGGATCCTATTGCTTTGCAAATCCATCATTTTGTAAACTTCACACAGATGATCTTCCTACTGAAACATACGAAAGAACTATATAATATATTATATATGTATCATAGAATCATATATATATAATTATGTATATATATATATTATCTATAGCAATGATATCTAAGCACCACAAAACAGGGATTGAATCAGCAACAAGTTTGAAGCAAGTCGAGGAGTTGAGCTGTGTTCACATGCGGTTCCAGCCGGGAGAATCATGCCATGAATCTGAAAACTGCCGGGAATGGGTGTGAAAAACGAGGAAAAACCCACTTTGTTCATCAAACAACCGTTGAGGAAATATCTGTGACATCTACGGCATCTACCTGCTTATCCCAACGCTGATAAATGCATCAGCATAGGGGCTTGCCCAAAAAGGTCAATAGCTTTCATGGAAGCCCGGAAGGGCCCACTGGGACAACACAATGACAGTGTATGTCGAGTCTTTGTGCATCCAATGCTTCAAGGAACCCAAATGCTGAACCATGAACACTTGAAGCCTAAGCCCCAGAAAGCCATCCGCTTCATTTTCTTCGGTGCAGGGGGGCCTGAAGTGGTAAACCTGCCTGGTGTTACTGGATTGAAATCATCTGTAATCCCCAAGACATGCATTGCTAATCACTCTTCAAAAAAAAAGTTTTTTAGTTGGTTGTAATCAATATTTCCATGTATGGCAAACAAATAATGCATTAACCTACCCAACAACGATTGACCCAGCATGCAAATGCCACTCTTTCTTACAACGTCTTGGGGCATCTCTCGACCATACTTTTCAGCGGTCTATAGTGTGTGTATATATGTATATACTGTAAGGTCTGAGCATGTTGTTATATCCCCAATTCCTGAATAAAGAACACCTCTTAGAATGTTGAGCACGGTTGGATTCCCATATGGCAACATCGTTGAACCTTTCAATTAGAAAGAAACACCCCCTTTACATACCTTTACTACTTATAGCAGGCTTCAACCAACAATATAAACATAAGTTCGGATAATCATCCAAGTTTCAGGGGCAAAAAAAATGTAATTACCTTTAGATAGCTTGTAAATCTGTATACCCTCCGGTAATCAAACGTGGCTTGCTGGAAAATCAACCATTTATATGATCTGCCCAGACACAAACTTCCATTTATAGTGGATTTTCAATTGCCATGTTTGAGTACCAGTCGGTGAATCCCATGGAAAATATCCCCATTTCTCTTTCATGAATCTCATTGAAATCACCATAAAATCCTATGGAAACTAACTGTTAAACCCCATTGTAGCCGTTGAACTTCCTCAGTGCGCACCTTCATCGTCTTTTGTTTCCACGTCTGCTAACTCGCCTCGGCGGTTTGGCGATATATACCTAAACCCTCCATTTGTAGCCTTACAAAAAGGCTTTCACCTCATAATTTCAAGAGTTTTACCATCTGAAATGCCCCCAATATCCCTCAATTTCCATTTGCTTGGTCAATGGTGATTTCCATTCATGTATTAGGTAGTATCTGGGTAAAACATAATATTTCACTAACCAGAATTAAGGTCATTTGGGGATGATTTCCCGAATCCTAACCATGATTCCAGGGCTCGGGAGAACAGGGTTCGGTCGTGATGAAATTTACCCAGTAGTACATGTATTATATATATACTATGGAAAATCACAATTTTTTGATGGGTAAATCCATGGTAAATCCACTATATTGGGTAGTATGGCTAAACCATGCTACATCAACCAGCCGGGATCTCTGAAGTGTGAACCGGAGAGAAGAAGCCAGCGTTTTGGAGGGCGCGTTTAAACGATTCGTGCCCTTACTATTTGGGTCGTGAAAATGGGGTACCCCCAAAATTTCATGGTTTAGAATGTTTAGAACCTCTATTTCCGCAAAAACAGCCATATTTCAAAGGGTGAAAAACCACATTTTCATACCCAAATCTCACACTGTTGGCTAGTTACACCCTCTTATAATCTGTTAAATCCAAAAGAAAACAACAATCAATCCTCAAATCCTCATATTCACTGACGGTTAGTAATCCCATCTCCCATTCACATGGAGGGGGTCCCAAATATGTAGTCTCATCCCTTGCTAAACCATGGTTTCTAGGGTTCAACATTGAGGGGAATGGACTCCTTGGTGGTGCCGTTGGGGTTGTAATTCACCATTGTTCAATGTTCATGCGGGAATTTATTCTGTTTTTTGGAGGAAATGCCATAGTTGGGGTTATGTTTGCCTTTTCCAGGCACCCTTGGAAATCAAGGAAATCATAAAATTAGGAAAAAACATGAAAAAAATGGATTGACCACCCAAAAAAAAGGAAAACAATTGGTGGATAAAAAACCGTGATGTTGACGCTCTATTTTTTCCTGTGTTTTTCCTACTGTGTTCCTATTTTTTCCGATGTTTTTCCTCGAGGTTTTTGCAATTTTTGACCTTTGCAGAAAATTAGCAAAAAAATAAAGAAAAAACATAGGAAAAAATGGAGGTGGCCAAAGAGAAATCCGAAACGTTGCTGAAAAAATCTGGAAACATGAAAAATTGCAAAAACCTTGAGAAAATTAGTAAAAACAATCAGAAAAAAATAGGAAAACAATAGGAAGAAAATAGGAAAAAATAGGAAAACAATAGGAAAAACATAGAGCGTCAAAATCACGGGTTTTTGTCCACCCAGTGTTTTCCTTTTTTGGAGGGGGGGTCAGGTCAATCCTATTTTTTCCTTTTTATTTTGAAAACTCCCAGGATGTGCCTGTAATTCAGACATAAAGTTAGGGTGAACTAAGTGAATAAGTCGAGATTGTTCTGTATGTCAACATAAAGGATTACCACTAAATAACGACAATTAAACTTGAGAGGGGGAACACGAAAGGTAGGTAAGCAAGAAAGGAACCGAAGAAAAAATGAAGGGGAGAGGGCAGGGAAAAAAAATAAAGTGGAGTCTGGTAAAAGCGACGCGGCCATTTTCTTTCCAAAAATATAAAGGGGAGTCTGGTAAAAGCGACTGAAAGGCTTCGGCGATGTGGTTGGGGTTGGTGGTGGTTGTGGTGTTGGTGGTGTTGGTGGTGCTGGTGGTGTTGGTGTTGTTGGTGTTGTTGGTATTGGTGTTGTTGGTGTTGTTGGTGGTGGTAGTGTTTTTGGTGTTGTTAGTGTTGTTAGTGTTGTTGGTGTGGTTGGGTTTGTTGGTGGTGTTGGTGTTGTTGGTCGTGTTGTTGGTGTTGGTATTGTTTGTGTTCGTGTTGTTGTTGTTGTTGTTGCTGTTGCTGCTGCTGCTGATGGTGTTGTTGTTGTTGTTGTTGTTGTTGTTGTTGTTGTTGTTGTTGTTGTTGTTGTTGTTGTTGTTGTTGTTGTTGTTGTTGTTGTTGTTGTTGTTGTTGTTGTTGTTGTTGTTGTTGTTGTTGTTGTTGTTGTGTGTTGTTGTGTGTTGTTGTGTGTTGTTGTGTGTTGTTGTGTGTTGTGGTGTGTTGTTGTGTTGTTGTTGTGTTGTTGTGTGTTGTTGTGTGTTGTGTGTGTGTGTGTGTGTGTGTGTGTGTGGTGTGTTGTTGTGTGTTGTTGTGTGTTGTTGTGTGTTGTTGTGTGTTGTTGTGTGTTGTTGTGTGTTGTTGTGTGTTGTTGTTGTTGTTGTTGTTGTTGTTGTGTGTTGTGTGTTGTTGTGTGTTGTTGTGTGTTGTGGTGTGTTGTTGTGTGTTGTTGTGTGTTGTTGTTGTGTGTGGTGTGTGTGTGTTGTTGTGTGTTGTTGTGTGTTGTTGTGTGTTGTTGTGTGTTGTTGTGTGTTGTTGTGTGTTGTTGTGTGTTGTTGTGTGTTGTGTGTGTGTTGTGTGGTGTGTTGGTGTGTTGTTGTGTGTTGTTGTGTGTTGTGTGTTGTGTGTGTGTGTGTGTGTTGTGTGTGTTGTTTGTGTTGTTGTGTGTGTTGTTGTGTGTTGTTGTGTGTTGTTGTGTGTTGTTGTGTGTTGTTGTTGTGTTGTTGTGTTGTTGTGTGTTGTGTGTTGTTGTGTGTTGTGGTGTGTTGTTGTGTGTTGTTGTGTGTGTTGTTGTGTGTTGTTGTGTGTTGTTGTGTGTTGTGTGTTATTGTGTGTTGTTGTGTGTTGTTGTGTGTTGTTGTGTGTTGTTGTTTGTTGTTGTGTGTTGTTGTGTTTTGTTGTGTGTTGTTGTGTGTTGTTGTGTTGTTGTTGTTGTTATTGTTGTCATTCGTTGTTGTTGTAGTTGTTGTGGTTGTTGTGGTTGTTGTGGTTGTTGTGGTTGTTGTGTGTTGTTGTGTGTTGTGGTGTGTTGTTGTGCGTTGTGGTGTGTTGTTGTGTGTTGTTGTGTGTTGTGTGTGTGTTGTGTGTGTGTGTGTGTGTTGTGTGTGTTGTGTGTGTGTGTGTGTGTGTGTTGTGTGTGTGTTGTGTGTGTTGCGTGTGTTGTGTGTGTGTTGTGTGTGTGTGTTGTGTGTGTTGTATGTGTGTGTGTGTGTGTGTGTGTGTTGTGTGTTGTGTGTTGTGTGTGTGTTGTGTGTGTGTGTGTGTGTGTGTGTGTTGTGTGTGTGTTGTGTGTGTTGTGTGTGTTGTGTGTGTTTTGTGTGTTTTGTGTGTGTGTGATGTGCGTTGTGCGTTGTGCGTTGTGCGTTGTGCGTTGTGCGTTGTGCGTTGTGCGTTGTGCGTTGGTGTTGGTGTTGTTGTTGTTGTTGTTGTTGTTGTTGTCGTCGTTGTTGTTGTTGCTGTTGCTGTTGTTCTTGTTGGTGTTGGTGTTGGTGTTACCCCTGCAGCGTTTTTGCTCGGTTCCGTAGTGGCCGAAAATCGTCAAATCGGTGGTGTTTTCGCGTGTTTTTGCATCTCTCGGAGCAAAAAACACCGTAAATACCAATGTTTTTGGCGGGTCGGAAGCCCAAAACCACGGTATTTACGATGTTTTTTGCCTCTGGTAGTAAAAAGCACGGTATTTACAGTGTTTTTTGGCCAGCACCTGGCAAAAACACTGGTATTTACGGAGGTTTCACCATGTAGCAAAATGTGGTTTCTTGATCCGAAAAGAACAAAAATACTGTAAATTACAATGTTTTGAGTCTGCTCTTAGGGTGCGTGGGAGGTGTGGGGAGGGGGGGGGTACTAAAATGACTAGCAATCTCCTGAAGAATCAGGTAACGGGGCTGGCCGCCCTCCCCTTTACTTCGTAAAGTAAAACTCAAGGTAGCCCCTCTGGAGCTATATACCTTTCGTGATAACCATGATTCATCAGTTCTATCACCACTTGAGCAGTTTTCAATTGATCCCTCTGTCATTCCACTATACTGGTTAGTTAATACAGTAGGGATTCCCCGTTCTTGGATTCTTGTAATCCCCAATATATAAAGGGTAGATTTGAATAGTCTAATCCCCGAAGTATTCATCAACAGGAGTAGATCGCAGCCACTGCTCAATCTTAGACGATTACTTTTCTTAATCCCCCACAGTAAAACATCTATTCAGAATACTATTATAATTCCCAATATTCATGGATATTTGATGCATACTATGTATTCCCAATATTCATGGATAATTCATTGATAACTCATAGTAAAACCAAAATCTGGGGAATTAGATGATTTCTTGAAAAAACATAGTAAAACAAACAAAAATCTCCCATATTCATTAATAACTCACCAGAGATTACTGCAAAGTGATGCGACCAAGCGTCGGATGATGAGCCGTTCCAACTGCGCCACGTTTCCGGCAGCAGCGGCTGTCCTAAGGACCCCGTCCCCTTCAGGTCTGTATATGTATACATATTGTATATATGTGTTTTTTTAATAGATCTTATATATATATATCTTATAGATGTTTTAGATGTTATACATATATATATATATTATAATTAGACGTTATATATGTTCTATATGTTGCATGTGTCATATGTCGTATACATGTTACATATGTATACAAAACTAAGGACATATATCACCTGGTGCTCCTTGCATACCGTCGAAGGTTTTTGCCGCCATACGAAATCTTGTTTTTCTTCTACCACGAAGAGTTTCATTTACAAAAAAAAAATGTTTCTGAGTGTTTGTAATCATTGAGGGAAGGGATTGAACTGTGAGGGGTTACCCACCAAAATTCAAAGCTTACAAACCCATGCGAGCCATTAAAAATACCCCCATCCCGTCTCATTATACTAGTTGGTTGAAAACGGTTTCCCTACTATGGGCTACTAGCATCGTAATCCCCAATACATGATGTAGTACAATTCCCCATATATATAATACGTATATATATATATTAACCAATCAACCAGGGTATTTCAAATATGGCTCTATATGTTACGTACCACGTACCTCAACTTTTAGGATCCTTTTAAAATTTTCCATTGAGTTTTCATCCTTCTAAGTCATGCCATTGTCGTCCCCAAAAACGGGCCCTATGAAAGGCCAAGGCGAAGCAAGACGATTCGTTTGTATCCGATGATCGCCGATGATTCGCCGATGTGTTTCACACACAGGAAAAAAAGGGTTTACCTACCTATAGGTAGCTTAGCTTAGCTCTATACCTACTTTTTTGAGGATGAAACCAGAATACCTATAAGTCCAACATCAATAATACCTATAATAACCATAATACCTATACCTATAATAACCATAATACCATAATATCTTTTCTTTGATCAACACAACAATACCTATAAGTCCAACAACTCCCATTATAATCCCATTAAAATTCCATCGAACATGCGGTTCCTGCCAGGTGATGAGCCTTGAACTGGGTAGACCCCCTCCAAATCAACTCCTAGATGATTCAATGTTGCTTCTAATCCTGTTGATATCATTGTTATCTATATATATATAACAATCATAGTATTTTTTGTAATTATCTATATATAGTTATATATATACATATATCATATAATTATATAACTATATAATCTATAATGATATAAAATATAATTATATAATATATAATCATTATAATATATAATCATTATAATATATGCATATTAATATTGATATCCTATCATGTATATATAATCCTATCATCTATAGTAGGAGCCCATCATTGATCATTGACCTACAAACCTGTCTCTCATCTTTTCTCAGAAAAGGATGCGCAAACTATGGCTCAATGGCTCAACACCTTCCACCAAGCCCATTTCGAAGCTCCAGAGCCGGAAAGAAACCCCAAAAGATCTGGGTAAACTAACATAGCTATGGAAAATCACCATTTTTAATGGGAAAATCCACTATTTCTATAGCCATTTTCAATAGCTATGTTAAATTACCAGAGGGTACCATTGATTGGTCAAGGGACGGTTAGGGATGCCTATGAACCAATTATTCTGGGTAAATTTAATATTTCACTACCCTGAAATGTTGGGCCATTTGGGGATGATTTCCCATAGAAAAACCATGATTCCAGGGCTCGGGAGAACAGTGAGGTCGTGATGAAATTTACCCAGAAAAGATGATATGTGCGATGTTTCACTGTTGGCTTACTGGAAAAAGAAACAGCAAAATTAAGCGAAAACAAATCCGAAATTCGCAACAGTTTGAACAACAGCCGGGGGTTTCTCCACACACCGTGCTTCCGAGACGCAACAACTTCTCTGAGGCAGACATAGACGCTACATCTCGAGACAAACCAGAAAAGCTGCTCGCATGGTGATCAAACAATGTTGATCATGAGCAGAAACGGATGGTTGTGTTGAGTTGGATTGGTTCATTGCTTTGCAAAGACCATCTATGTTAGAACTCTGCAAAAAAATAAGTTTCTTAGTAAAAACCCACTATCATTGGCCATTCAGCACTTTTCTGTCTTGTGATGGATTATGGAAACTAAGAAACAAGTGACATGACTATATATGCCACGACAACCCTGAAAACATGGTGGCGATGCCAAAACTTGTGCTTACCCAAACGTTAACTCACTTTTCACAGCAGCTTTTGCGTCAAGCTTTGAGATTGCTTGAGATTGGTATGTTCGTGGTTGAGAAACATGGCACTGGCGCCAGCATGTTAGGTGTAATAAAAAGGCAGCATAAGGCAAGCAATTCCAAAAATCATCTACAAGAATGAGAACATCAGTCTGGAATAGATTGTATGAAACAAAAACTCTCCAGTCTATCTGTATGAAGATTTCCTTTAACAGATGATAGACTTTGTACCATCAGTCTGGACTTGGTACCCTTTCACAGCTGAGAGTCAACGGGGTTGATGAACAAATTGGCCCACGCTAGCGACGCTTCGAACTTACGAAACTTCAAGGAAACAACCTCAAAAGCAATGCAACGAACATCACAAGGGTGGGTACATTCAGATCATTCTGCAAAACCTGGGAAAAAAAAAAACATATGTATATGTATATTATAATTGTGTATATGTATGTATATATATATATTATAATTAGATATAAACACATATTATTATATATATATATGTAGGGAGAGATAGATAGACCATAGAAACCTAATCCGATGGGCATCTCGGCATCTCCCCTGGGAACCATCTCCGATCTGAGGAAAGTGACGCAAGAAGCCCTTTCAAGGTCTGCTGGTAAAAGTTGGTATCCAGCAAGACCTCGAAGTTTAGGCCAGAGACATCCAGAGACCACTTCTCGGTGGTAGACAACAAATTGGTAGACAAAAAATGTACGAGAAAAAATTGGCATCATGAAAATGGATGAAAATGGATGAAAATGGCCAATATCTGAAACCACTAACCTTGAACTTGAGGAAACTCGCCTTCTAAATTACTGCAAGGAAACGAGCCAACCAAGCCTTTCCTCAAGCCCCCAGCGGAAACAAAAGTTGAAACCATACCATCCTACCATCGGGGAAACATACAAAAAGACTTGCAAAATCCATGGGGGAACCCCAGGAACATGATGCCAAAATGCTGGGTCTTCCACATCAATGACAACGTTTACAGGAGGGTAACGATCCATATTCTAATGTGTCCCATGTGATTGATTGTTAATTAAACTACTTTCACCACTCGGTCGACCGCAGGTTTTGGTCAACCTCGAATATCAAACAACCAATTTTCATCAATGTTCATGGTTCAAGGCTAAATTTAAACAGCAATTCAACATCATTTTTTCTAAAAACTGATCCAATTGGTTTACCACAAATCTGAACCCATATTTCCTATAGAAATCATTACTTTATCCCCAATGTTCTGCGTCTGTCAAAGTCAGGCACCCTAGGGTCGCCCGCCCATATCGACCAATATTTTCAGCACCAAAGTTGCCATTTGGTGAACGCCAAATATCCCAAAGATATTCCCATGATTTTGTCGTGGTTGGACCACACCGGCGCGAATCCCGAAAGTACTTCTTGGAACCTTGGAACCTTTTTCTAACTTGACATTCCTGGTGTTCATGAATTTTGTTTTTCTCCCTTGTTTTGGGTATTTTTGGATTAATTATGTTAATTAGCTGTTGGCAATCAAAACCCAAACAGCCAATGCCCAGTTGATTTGCCTGCCATTCTCCAAGGTACGGCATGAGGGGTTCGCTGTAAGACCTGCGACGAGAACCCTGCGCGCATCGCCTGCCAATTTCGAACCGAAGCATGGAACCGAAGGCAGGGATTTAACATGATTCAACCATCAAAAATGGGGACTCTTTGGCAATCAAACATGGCAATTTTAGATACATGAATGGAGGTTTATTGCGAAAATCATCTATACATGGATGATTTCCATTGCCGTGTTTGATTATCGGAGGGTAACCAGCATGATTTGATTTAACCAATTTGCTGATCGCTGGGAAAACTGAGGATGTTCAACAAACATTGCTACAAAAGTTCGATGAATATAAGCACATACTTGCACAATCTTGCACATCTATTTCACTCATCTACAACCCATCCATATCCATCCTGTTAATTGTTTGCCAAACAGATATGACACTTACTGCCAATCATTGATGCCAAATGGTAACCCAACCAGAAAAAACCGTGAGCTTCGACCCGCAACAATCACAATGCATTGGTTTTGCTTGGTTTCACTGCTCAAAGGAACACACAACAACAAAGATATTCACCATGAAGCCGCCAATTTTCTAATGTGCCGGCTCATGATCCTTCATGCACCTTTGGGGATAAGATGCTACTTTTCATTCCTTTTTCTGCAAATTGTGATGTGGGGCGTGGGCGGCCACCAATTCGGCTCAAATTGCAAACAGTCTATTTGGTGACAAATTCCTTCATTACCCCGAAATGTCACCAACAGATCGACGAGCAAAACAAACCCTTGGGAGAACAGATTAGGTGCTATTGTGATCATGAAAAGCATGGCCGGAGCACGGCTGGTCTCGCATATTTTTTTCAGAACCCATGGCCCAAGGGGGCCTGTGTCAACTGTTCCAGGAGCCCATGGCCAACATGCTGTGGATCCTGGCGTGTTTGATTGTGTTTGGTTCAGAATAATCCCTTGCCCCCAATTCATATTAAACACTCCCATTCTATGGTCCCAATATGTCCCAATTATGTGGAAGTCCCCTACCAAATGGTTTTGGGGTGGGTGTTTAATATTAGGGGGAAGGGATTTTTGCTGGTGTCCAAAGTCAGGAGTTGAAGGTAAGAACAAATCGCTCACTTGAGATTTCACGAGTTCACCAAATCCACAGGTCTACAGTGGATGGGCCAGCGAAATCCGAATCAACAGTTGGTAGATGGTAAACATCCCATTATTTACAGGGTTTCAACAATCCCAAAATTGGTGCTTTATCGGATTTCGCTGGCCCATCCACAGGTCTGGTTCTAGCAGTTTTTTGCACCAAAATCGGTATCCTAGTGAGGCCATGGCTCCCGAGAAATGGAGCTTGGCAATTTCACAAGCTGCCCCAGTTCGTGAAAGCTGGGTTGCTTGATAACTCCAATAGGTTTAATGGTAGATATGTATAATATATATATATATAATTATATATATATATATCCTTAGTTCATGGGGGGATATAAACCAACAATAACCAACACTAACTCGATTCAATAGGTTTAATGGTAGATATGTATATATATATATATCCTTAGTTTAAACCAACAATAACCAACACTAGCTCGATTCAATAGGTTTAATGGTAGATATGTTTATATATGTATATATATATATATCCTTAGTTTAAACCAACAATAACCAACACTAGCTCGATTCAATAGGTTTAATGGTAGATATGTATATATATATCCTTAGTTTAAACCAACAATAACCAACACTAGCTCGATTCAATAGGTTTAATGGTAGATATGTATATATGTATCCTTAGTTTAAACCAACAATAACCAACACTAGCTCGATTCAATAGGTTTAATGGTAGATATGTATATATATATATATATATCCTTAGTTTAAACCAACAATAACCAACACTAGCTCGATTCAATAGGTTTAATGGTAGATATGTATATATATATATCCTTAGTTTAAACCAACAATAACCAACACTAGCTCGATTCAATAGGTTTAATGGTAGATATGTGTATATATATCCTTAGTTTAAACCAACAATAACCAACACTAGCTCGATTCAATAGGTTTAATGGTAGATATGTGTATATATATATATCCTTAGTTTAAACCAACAATAACCAACACTAGCTCGATTCAATAGGTTTAATGGTAGATATGTATATATATATATCCTTAGTTTAAACCAACAATAACCAACACTAGCTCGATTCAATAGGTTTAATGGTAGATATGTATATATATATATATCCTTAGTTTAAACCAACAATAACCAACACTAGCTCGATTCAATAGGTTTAATGGTAGATATGTGTATATATATCCTTGGTTTAAACCAACAACAACCAACACTAGCTCGATTCAATAGGTTTAATGGTAGATATGTATGTATATATATATATATCCTTAGTTTAAACCAACAATAGCCAACACTAGCTCGATTCAATAGGTTTAATGGTAGATATGTATATATATATATCCTTAGTTTAAACCAACAATAACCAACACTAGCTCGATTCAATAGGTTTAATGGTAGATATGATTTTATATATATATATACACCCTTAGTTTAAACCAACAATAACCAACACTAGCTCGATTCAATAGGTTTAATGGTAGATATGTATATATATATATATATCCTTGGTTTAAACCAACAATAACCAACACTAGCTCGATTCAATAGGTTTAATGGTAGATATGTATATATATATATATCCTTAGTTTAAACCAACAATAACCAACACTAGCTCGATTCAATAGGTTTAATGGTAGATATGTGCTGACTTGAGATTTCACGATTTCACCAAATCCACAGGTCTACAGTGGATGGGCCAGCGAAATCCGAATCAACAGTTGGTAGATGGTAAACAATGGTAAACATTCCATTATTTACAGGGTTTCAACCATCCAAAATTGGTGCTTTATCGGATTTCGCAACGGCCCATCCACAGGTCTAGTTCTAGCAGCTTTTTTGCACCAAAATCGGCATCCTAGTGAGGCCATGGCTCCCGAGAAATGGAGCTGGGCAATTTCACAGCATGGCTCCCAGTTCGTGAAAGCTGGGTTGCTTGATAACTCCAATAGGTTTAATGGTAGATATATATATATATACTTAATTCATGGAGGGATATAAACCAACAATAACCAACACTAACTCGATTCAATAGGTTTATATAATGGTAGATATGTATATATATCCTTAGCTTAAACCAACAATAACCAACACTTAATTGGGGGTGCACCACCCTGTAGCTATAGAAATGCTTCAGGCTGATGGCCCATTTGGTCTGAAGAAATCCCGGATTCTTGGATCTGACGTGGCGACATGGCTGAAAGGACACGAATCAATAGCATATACATCCATATACCCTCTGGTAAACTAACATAGCAATGGAAAATCCCCCATTTTTAATGGGAAAATCCACTATTTCTATGGCCATTTTCAATAGCTATGTTAAATTACCAGAGGGTACTACGATTATAGTAGCCATTCTTGGTGCAGTTCCAGTTATAAGTGGAGGAAAAAAAAACATAGTTCTGGGGATTCTATCCCAACTTTTGGTGTGAAAAAAATCCTATGTCAGCGGTAAAAACCTCATCCCCAAGTGCACAAGACCCACATCCCCGCATCCACATCTGGACAAGAAACGTTCATCATGTCCTTGGACCATTCGACGACTGAAGATGTTTTCGGTTTTTCGTAACCCTTCAATGGCCATGTCAGGAACCTAAATTGGAGGCACCCACCATATATAAGGCCTATATAAGGCCTATGTAAGGGAACATCCGCATAAAATATGGTCTTATATGGTACAGTACCTCCATTTTAGGATCCTGAAATTCCCATTGAACCTTAAATAGAACATCAAGTATGAGAAAGTTTTGGCACCTGGAAGTTACATATAGTTATATATATATATTCAGGTTTCCGAAGTCATGGGGGTGACCCCCCCCGAAATCATCCAAATATATCCAAGTCATGGATGATAATGACTTAGCACCTTTCAGGGGTTGTCACAGATGATTTTCAGCGCATGTTTTGACAAATCCCCAGATTTCCCCCGGAGATCACCGAGCGAAACAGAATCGGAGCTTTTTTTTGAAAAGGTCATTCGGAATGACAGAAAAATGGGAATCTTTCTGACATCACTGATGGGATAATGGTATACCTAAATCTATTGAATCTATTGGCGTGTTTCTGTGGCAAGAACAGCTGTGTTTTCAGGGCCTGAAAATGCCAAAAACGTGTAGCATGGCATTTGATAGTTGCCATGGAATTCGTTGCTCGAAAATTTCCTGAAGTTGCTCAAGCACTTGAACAAATGGAAAAAAAAAAGAAATGAGAAAGCACTGGCTCAGGCTTCGTGGCTGATATCTATATATATATGCTGATATCTTTTTTTCGGTGCTGGTTTTGGTGGGATCACCTCGAACTTTCGCTTCGAGTTTGCCTCCGGAAGAAATGGTGCGATACATGGTTATCTCCTTTAAGGTGTCCGGGCCACGTAGGGACCAAGGGGAACAAGCACGGCATGCTGCCAGTATCGAGACTGAAAGAGCTTCGGTGGTGCTAGACGTGTGAAGAAAAGGTGAACAGGGAGCTAACACGCAGACGCAAAAATCGAAACATCTTAACTGGGAGCAACTCTGGACATGGACGCTTTCTTCATGCCCTCGCCGCACGAAGCAAAGACCCCATGTCCAAAAAAACACCGCTGTTCGCAGCATGTTTGAGAATTTGAACTTGAACATATGTGTAACCTTGACGCGCAAAAACACCGCAATACAATTACAGCATTTTGGCCTCTTGACCAGCCACAAAATATGGCCTCATGTAGCTGTTTGGAGGGGAGCGCGAAGGGAAGCGGATGGGGAGGGGTTAGGACAAAGAGCATTTCTAGTGAATATTCACAAACACTTGTGAGCCGGTGTCGCTCAGTAGGTCTCGTCATGCGCAACGTCGCTGGTTTGTAGCTATTCATTTTGTCAACATCATAGCTTGACGTATTGACCATGGCCAATTTCTACCAGGGAGATCATCGTCACCCAGGTCTTTTAATTTTTCGGGATCTATAATTCCAGAAACACCCATTTAAATCATTTAAAATAACCAATCAATATCTTTTTGTCAACATAATTAGTAATCAAACCAGTCAAGTTCTTGCTGAATTCTCGTGGATTTCTTGGGTACCTTGGGTACTTCCAAACCGCTCATGACCGTCCGCCACCTCTGCTGCTGTCTCGTCAAGATGCTGCTGCCACAGTGCCGGCAGCGGTGTCTGACAATGGATGCTCCGCTGCTGCAAAGAAGATCCCTGCAACGTTTGGGCAGCAGTGTTTGACACAAACTTCGAGCTGCCAGCAAAAAAGTGCCGTGAAACTCCTCAATCTATGGAACTCCAACTACAACATCTTTGAAGTCAAGGTACCAAACAGATATCATAACTACATATAACTACCTAAACTACCCCAACACATCCCCAACTTCCATGACAATAGAGGACCGTCAGCCACGGTGCTGCTTATGCTGGATCTGGGGGGTTCCATCAATGGGGGAACCCCAATAGCTCCAAGCTCGCTGGATGGTTTATGTCATGGAACATCCCAATCTAAAATGGATGATTTATATAGGGGTACCCCCCATTTTTGTTAGGAAACCTCCATATATCCAACCTTTCGTATGGTTACCCGGTAGGTAAACGTTTACAAAAAGCTATTGAAGCCATGGCCCAGTCGAAATAGTTTTTGTTCCCATAAAAATCGCATGGTGGATCTTTCCATCCGTTTTTTCTATACGGAGTTACCAGGTCGGGTCACTTCTCCCATCATTCATCCCAATTCATATGAACAACACCCCATTCATATGGTCCCAATTAATGTCCCAATTAATTACCCTCTGGTGAACTAACATAGCAATGGAAAATTCCCATTTTTCATGGGAAAATCCACTATTTCTATAGCCATTTTCCATTGCTTTTTGTATGTTCACCAGAGGGTATGTGGAAAATCCCCACATCCAATCCACCATAGCAGATAGGGGTTGGAAGACTAGTTTCCATTAAAAATTGGCTATTTTCAGGGTCCAACTGTTAATTTACCAGAGGGTAATGTCCCAATGGAATGTGGAAAATCCCTACATCCAATCCACCATGGTTTCTAAGGCAGCACCTTCGATGATGTGGATGGGCAAATTCCAGCGGTGCCCAGAGAGATCGATAGGATCCCGAGAACCAATGGGAAAGTTGAGCTCCTGGGTGACAGAAGGGATTTTTGTGTTGATGATTCTGGATCTTTCTATAATATTAATAATATATATATATATATGGATTATACATATGGATTATATATATGGATTGTATGATTATATATGTAGGGGTATATATTAATTATCAATATTACTGTTTTTATTAATATCACATATATATATATATAAGGATTATATGATTATACATATATTATAGATATTCTTTGGAAGATAAGGTATATACTAGTTATCAATATTATTGATATTATTATATTGTGTATATATATATATTATACATATATGAGCATCCCACACATCGGGCACAGATGTGTAAACCCTCCACCCCGGCCCCATTTTGGCGGGGAAAAGTACGAAACTCATAGGGTAAAACAATGTCAAACACAGCATTTTCAAATCTAGATATGTTGGTAATACTGATGATGACCTATAATTTGGAGCCACTAAAGTGGGTCACCTTTTGGGTCACCTTTTTATGCGTCATGGATGAAACAACTTCGATACCTAGTGAAGCCATCGAAGTTTCGCCACCTAAATTCGGCGCCGAGAGGCACTTTTCAAGGGGTGAAGCAACACATCCACTTCATCCATAATCACCTGGCGCCAGGGTGGAGCCCACAGCTAAGTTTTATGGTGAAAAAATGAAGCGAATCGCTGGTGAAAAATCTGTGGTAATTATTGTTCACATTTAATCAATGAAGAGTTCAAGTCTCTCCATGTATACCATCATTTAGCTTTGAAAAAAGGTTTGACCAAACATGAATAACATTCATTTTAACCATTTACCTATGAAAAAGAATGTTAACCCATCAATTGGTAACAAACATGTTAATCACCATTCTTCTAACCATTCATTTTTCGGGCGTCTGAGTTTGATTCTGAGTTTGATTCTGAGTTCGAAATCGACGGCAACAAAACGAATGGGATACAAGTGTCAACCTACAAGGTATACTTAGATATAGTGTACAGCCAAGAATGGTGATTTGAACTAGGTATTCTTCCATTCTTGGTATTGGTATACAGATTGACTATCCGTATAGGTTCCACGGTGATTTGAACTATCCTCCCAATATATATAGGTTCCACTCCAATACCAGGTCTATCAGTCTTGTTGGGAGAGGAACAGCAGCCATTGGAGTGATTGGAGTCATTGGATGCAATATGTATCCTCTGAGGTAATAAAAGATTAACAGCTCACTATTGAAAATGGCCATAGACATAGTTGATTTACCCATAAAAAAAAAAAAAAACAGGGTAAATCAACTATGTGTATGGCCACAGACATTAGTTTGCAACCTGTTTACCAGGGGGTATACGTAATCAATCCGTGCAAATCGATAAAGATGGACCAAAAACCCCCCGACAAACCCCCGCGACAGTCACTTGGGCTCCCACGATTCCTGTCCTCGGCGCGTTCAAGGAACTGTTGAATATGAAAAGATAATTGAAACACACACACACACATGAATAACTGTTGAATATAAATGTAGAAAAAAATGTCATAAATGAATAACACACACACACACATTCATGTCTCTCAATTTATGACATTTATATACATCTATGGACCAAAAAGCCCCGCTGTTGAAACCCTGTGTTTGGGTGTAAAAACCTTGCTTTCGAACCAACCTTTGCATCATTTCCATCTTTCCAAATCGATTCTTCAGAAATCCCTGAGTTTTCCTTCAAAACTCCCCTGATTCTTTGGTGGAAAAAACAACAACCATCGCTTCCCGGGGCGCTTCCAGAGCTGGATGACGCGCACCACGGCGTCTGCCATACCACTGCGCTTCTCCAATTGATCGCGCTGACGCGACAGCTCACGGTCAGAGCGTATGGATGAGCCTGGCAGAGTCACGGTGCGCGGAAGTTTCATGAAGTTTCGGGGGATGCGGGGTGTTAAGAAAGATCAGAAAGGTTACAAGGTGGTGCCCCATAGTTAGCTAAGTTGGTTTATAAATCCCATAACTATGGTTTATGGCAGATATAACTATAGTTAATGGGGTTTATAAACCCACTTATAACTGGGGGGCACCATCCTGTATGAATCTGAAAGTCAAGAGTTCTACAACCACACTTAAGGTGTATCTTAAAGTCGTTTACGCGGATTTTTGTTGACAAGAGGCTTAGATCAAATCGTAAATTCTTGGAATTGGAAGCTGTTCTACCCAGATGATCCAACTGATCTAGTGCCATTTTCTTCATATTTGGGTATGGGCTCACCAAAGGGTACCGTGGTGAACACACCCACAGGGGTTGGTAAATGTCCCATTTTTGGAATATTGGACATCACCTTATAGTAGCCATTATAGACCATATACCTAATGGTTGGGTGATGTTCAATGGGGACATTTAATGACCCATGCCCAAATATATAATTGATATAGATACTGATGGTACCTTTTTAGATCTAATAGCAGCGGATCATGCCCTCATTCAAAGGATTCGAAAAATTGATGCATCCATTAGACAATACTGCTACCGTGGAACACCAGATGGGGGAAGAGCATACCCCCCGAGATAGTTGAGCTGTCCATCCAATTGTGAATCATTTGGGGAGCAAATCATGTCATCTTTTTCAAGGGCAAGAAATTCAAACATCTCAAGTATACCAGTACTAGACTCAACTTCGCTGCATGAAGCTGCTGCCCCTGCGAGTTTTGCTACTGCTAGGCTGAAGATGCTGAAGGGCCCTTGAGGATCTGTAGGAAGCCGGAATTCATCCCCTCATCAGCAGGTGACTTTCGGAAAGTCATAGACCTCAGCCACCCATTTTGCAGGACCCAAACCTCACCATCTCGTAAACGACCCACCACAAAAAATGCCCCCCTTTGATGATGATGAACGCCGCGGAGCGCTTTTTTTTGCGCAACGAATGCCATTGAAACAGTGCATCGAATCATGAAAGAATTACATTTCACAATTTTCAAAGAACATTGAGCGACTCAGGGGCTCAGGGGTCTCGAAATCCTCTGTTCTCTTTCAAGGCCCCAGAGTGCTCCACAAGCGCTTCAAGTCTTCCTCCAACTCAGAGAAGTCGGGCCGGAGCTCGGGGTCCTGATCCCATGCGCGCTGCATCAGTGGGATCAGCTCGCTGAGGACAGGATGATCAGTGCCTTTCAGTTTGATGGTTGGGCGTAGGCCTTGGCACACGTACAGCCCGATGCGAGGATCCGAGATGTCAGCTCCAAAGCGCTCACCTGAGATGAGAAACGCATGATGGATGGTTTTCTAAAGGGGGCCTTCTGTGGGACAAACAGATTCTGGTTGTTGGTTGACCTACCCATCTGAAAAATATGAAAGTCAGTTGGGATGATTATTCCCAATATATGGAAAAATAAAAAATGTTCCAAAACACCAACCAGTATTGTATTGCCTTTTTTGGAGGGGTTGGGGAGAAACAAAAGATTCATGTTAAAACAGGACCAAGCAGGGACTGTATGGCATCCTTCGCTCTAAAACTTCGTACCTTGGTGCGGTAGTCTGCAACAGGACGCAGGAAGTGAACCCCAAAAAGGTGCCGGAAAGTGTTTCAGAATGGCGTAGTGATGGTATGTTCCACATATGTTCCGGGTGTCCAATTTGCATCTTTTTCGGGTTCCCATACAGTATGAGTGGGAAAACTTATGTCGTAGGAAGTAGTTCTGCTTATGCACCACATTCAAGTCTACAATAAGGGGCCCACTTTGTGAAGTGTCGATTCACACATGTCCATCCCCAATGATTGTTTTTTTTGTCCGATTTGTGATTGGTGACAGGTGCCTTATTGTGGATTTGGTTGGGAAAGCAGCGCGAAATCTGAGCTGTCTACTTTCAAAGTACTTTCAGGTTCTTGATTGTCGGACAAATCAATACAAATGATGAATCAACAATCCATCCAACAGTTGTTGAATGCAAAAAAACGCATGAAGCAAGATACTTGGTGATCATCCCACGAATTGTTTTTGTAGCTTAGTTCACCCTGGTGATGTGGGATAAGTCGGGTGGATTTCCACTGAAAAAGATTGGGTGAACATCCACCTACTGATCATTACTGATCTGTGGGATGATCCACCAAGTCGCGGAAAAGATTGCAACTAATCATTTCACTACATCTTGATCAACTAATCATTTCCTAGTTTGAATCTCATTTGATTCATTTGACAACTAATCATTCCTGGTTGAACTAATACATGTAGTGTATCATTCACATTGAACTGATGATCATTTCACAGATTCCTGGTTTGTTGCTGTAATGGGACCACCTTTGGATCTCTTAGGGTCACCCTAAGGGTGACGTAGATGGGTCATCCGTTCCAGTGAGGCCGTGGCTGGTTGATGAGTTACCTCATCAGCCTCATCTGTCGCAATAAATGTGGGTGTGTTTTTGTTTCTATATATTAATACATATAATATTATATATATATACATATGCACATGGTGAACATATTCGTACATGTATACAAACAATATAATTACTCAAACATATATATATATATACATACAGTTTCTTTTAATCATGTACATATAGATGTAGATACAGGATGGGCCCCCCAGGTATATGTTGGGTTATAAAGCATTATAAACCCATGAAAACTAGTTCGTTATATCTACCATAAACCATAGAATTCGGCCACAAAAATTGGCAACTGAACGCTATCGAACGGGAGCCCCATCCTATACCTCAACTTCCTGCGCTTGTCCTGGCGACATGAGAATTCCGAAGGAATAGATGTCCTTGGCGCTATCGTCCAGTGGAAAACATAGCAATATATGGGGCTTTCCCAAAATGGAGGTACCCAAAAAGTGGATGGTTTACAAGGGAAAATCATGAAATCCTACTAACATGGATGATTCGGGGGTACTCATATTTCGGGGGTACTAGTTTTTTGATAGTAGTGAGTGTCATCATAATATGTATAGTATGATATATACATATCACTAGAAGCAAACCTGTGAGTGTCATCTCGACTGGTGATTGAGCCACCAGTAGTCCCAAAGATATCAAAAATGCTCGCCATCCGTATTTTGTGTCGGAGATAAAAATGTATGCGAAGATGTGAAACCAGCAACTGACCAAAAAAAAGACTGTCCAGAGTTCATAATTAGTCTGGGGGTGTCCTAAAATAGGTGTACCCCTAAATCATCCAATTCCATAGGATTTTCCATTAATCATTATAAACCATCCATTTTGGGGGATCCACCATTTTAGAAAACCCCCGTATAATCGTCCATCGCAACTAAAAAAAGGGACTTGTAGAAGCCCCTAGCTATGACTTACGATGCTATGGTTAACTGGGGCTTTCCATAAATGGGGGTACCCCAAGCTCGCTAGATGGTCTATTTCATGGAAAATCCCAATCTATGGATGTTTTGGATGTTTTGGGGGTACCCCCATGACTTAGGAAACCTCATGAAACCTCCAACTCTCCAAGTCTCAGCCTTGGAATTGTACTTTGCATCCACTTCCTCGGGTTCAAAGACCTCCGGCGCCATCCATCGCCAGGTGCCCACCTGAACCGTCAGGGCCGCGCCCGCGCCATTCGTCTCGCGCGAGAGGCCGAAGTCGGCCACTTTGGCGAAGGGCTCTTGGGAGGAGTTGCGCAGAGGTTTGGACAACAGGATGTTGCTACTCTTCAAATCCTCGATTTGGGGGTTTCCATAGCCCATAGGATCCATGGTGCTGGTATATATACTAACATTGGGGGTATATTGATGGTAAATGTTACCATATATAGCATACGTGGATCCTATGGGTAGTCATGGGGGTACCCCCAATTGGTTTACGATGGAAAATCCGGTGAAAAATAGATGATGAACTTGGGCACCCCCATTTCAGAAACCTGGATTTGTAATTCGGGGCATGGCAAAAATTCATCGGCTTGGAAAAAAAATAGAAGCATATGTGGCGGATTTGGAAAGAGCTTGAAAGAGAGTTCGATTCAAAATTGGCGATGATGGAAATTGAAAACACTATTTAGCATAGCTGGGTACAATATAGCTTGAAAGATGAAGGTAGAGACACGAAGGAATAAGGGTTCATGTTTTCAACATATGAGAATGAATATGATAAGGGCTAAATGAATATGATAGAATAAGGTGTGGATTTCATCTTGCTACTCCTTTGTCTTGAAAACGGGATGGTGGAGATATTGACAGATTGCGAGGGCTCGCTGCGAATGGTGGCGACGATGATCCGATACATCCAGTGTCTCTGTTTCAGTGAGATCCAACTTTTGGGGTGTCGGATGTTTCAGTGGCCCGGTGGCCTTCAAGAAAACTAAGGAGAACAGCTATATTAACAGCTGGCCAACAATGGGTTTCTGATCAAAATGACGAGCGTCTCGATGCAAAATACATGGTTTCTGCTCATGGAGGTATCTCATGCCTGAAGCAATGTCCAGCAGTATCTTGACCTGCTGCCAGAGCGAGAGTTCGCAATCAGGACAGTTGTACAGCAGATCGAAGAGGCTTCCACCAGCCAGAAATTCAGTGACGATCAAATAGGGTGGTTCCAGTGTTGAATCCATACCTTGGCGGTTGCTGCTTGCTGGTTGCTGATTCTAGTTTGATCGCTTCTTTTTGGACCGGTCAACACCACTAAGGTTTAACTATAAAGATTTTTCAGCATATCCCATAGGATCCATGTATGGTATATATATATACTAACATTGGGGGTATATTGATGGTAAATCTTACCATATATAGCATACATGGATCCTATGGGTATGGATAGATACGGCCAAACAGCATGAAATCATAAAATATCTGGATTTTTGAGCAAAAAACCGACGGTGAAATCACCGAGACCAAGATCAGAAACGATCAGTCCAGGGATAGCAGTAGTGAAAAATAAGATACCATCTGGTTATGACTAACATAGCCATGGAAAATGGCCCATTTATAGATGCTTTTCCCCATCAAAACCTCCATTTATAAGGGATTTTCCATGGCTATGTTAAATAACCAGAGGGTACTATTTGTGCTTACCTTTTGCTTAGTCAGTGATACTAAGAGTAGTAGTATAGCTGGAGCTTACCCTGGAGCTTACTAGTGAAAAATCAGTACAGTGATACCAAGAAACACCTCTTGTGCAATCCCACTGTACTGATTGGTTAAGAAGATTTAAGAAGTATCCCTACTATGGCTTACCATGTGTTATCATATCCTCGATCAATGGGGGGTAAACCGTGTAGAACTCCCCATCATGACCATGCAATATCAAAAATGGTGTTTTCCATGGCTCAAATGGGTCGGAAATTGGATCAATTTGACATTGAAGGCGCAACATGTCGGTGTGTGGCCGCAGTGTAGAGACGGCATTACTTCATATTACATGGGTCATTAAATGTCCCCATTGAACATCACCCAACCATTAGGTATATGGTCTATAATGGCTACTATAAGGTGATGTCCAATATTCCCAAAATGGGACAGTTACCAACCCCTGTATTACTTCATCATTCACTACGGATCATATCAGCACGGCGACATGTCGACATGTTCCCAGGGCAAGTGAGTGAGAAGTTCACCAGAAGGGTGACGTTTTGCGCATCAATGAATTCAAAGTATGGAACTACCCTCTGGTAATGACTAACATAGCTATTGAAAATCACCATTTTTAATGGGAAAATCCACTATTAATGGTAATTTTCAATAGCTACGTTAAATTACCAGAGGGTAATCATGTAAAAAACATTTCAAAGTTGAAGGAGTGTGCTGTTTCTTGGATTCTGAGAGAAACACAAATACTGGTGGGCTGTGGCAAAGGTAGAAGCATTGTTCCTATGTTTACACTATCCAAGAGAGGTACCAACTTCCATACAAATCCAATCTCAGATGCCCATATCAAACACCCCGATGGTTTACCATGGTAAGAAATCATGGTTTTTTTAATAGGAAAATCCACTCATATTTGTTCATTGTTTTGTCATATTTAGGGACCATTTTAGTGGATGGGATTAGTGATCCATCACTATCTGCATCTACAATAATCCCATCTCCCATGAGTGGAACAGTTCGTATCAAAAATGGTACCGGCCAACAAATTCAAGGACCTTCCAGGTTTCGTTTTCTTGGGGGTCGCTTTTCTGAGAAAAAAAAAAAACATCATTTGTTGTGATATATCATCCGTGGAATTTCTGAAAAAACATGACTACGTGTTGCGTTTTTACCATGATTGTATATGCCACGCTTATTTCCTGAAAGACAGCTTCATCACCAGGGGGTTCCCCTTATCAAAATATGATCATCATAACACTCTGATGATTTTTGGGTTCCCCCATATTTCCCTAGCTAATTTTTAACTAAAACAACTATTGAACTTCCCCACGTTCACGACTTGACATCTTCCACCTATCAAACAAAACATAACAAAACCCATGCATCCAAGCTGCATTTCACGAGGTTGGGATGATCAGTGAGCATGGTGAGCCGCTCGCGATTACGATAGACTTCCCCCAGGTCGGTATGGAGCTGCTTCACGGCCACAATGATGCTACTGGTGCCCGCGGCAAAGCTGCGGCTCCAATCGGCCTTCGTCAAGGTCAAGTGACGCTCGAAACCTTCCCCTCTGGTAAACGTTTACAGTTTGCGAACTGAAAATGGCCATGAAGTTTGTTGATTTACTCATTAAAAATGGTGATGTTCCAGTTCGTTTTTTGCATGTTTACCAGAGGGTATATGATTGTATCCCATCCCCCGTTGCAACACCAGAAACTATGGTGGATGTAGAGGATAACAATGGATAACAACTGGGGGATGAGTGCTTGAGTTGGGCTTATCTTTATGAGGATGTCCATGGTGAAATGCCAAAAAAAAACTGCATTAGTTGGGATGTCCCGTGTATATTGTGTATATCTAATATTATGTGTATATATATATATGCATAATACAGATATATAATATATATACCTAGACCTTCCAAGTACCCTTAAAATTGTGTTTACCCCATAGTTTTAGTAAATTTACCATTTTTCGGGGTATTTGGAGGGTCTTGGTATAATGTATATACATATGCATATATATACATATGCATATTATAAATATAATATATCATATATATATATATATACGTGTATATAGATGTATTAAGCCCTACAATAAATGACCATCTGACCATGAGCCGTGAGTTCAACTGCCCAGTTTGAAAACTGGGGGTGATAAATTGCTCATCTCTGGCCCCAGTCGAATTTACCCTCTGGTTATGTCAAATAGCTATTGAAAATGGCTATTTATAGTTGATTTACCCATTAAACATGTTGATTTTCCATAGTTATGTTAGTTTACCAGAGGGTATCACTGATCACCTGTACAATTGCGCGAACTACCATGATTACCCTTCTGTCATCAAACGTGGCAATTTTTTTCCAATTCCCCTTACAAATGGATGTTTCAATTGGAAAACCAACCAGAAATGGTGGTTTCCTGAAATGGGGGTACCCCCAAATCTTCCATTTTGATAGGATGTTCCATTATAAACCATCCAGCTATTGGGTATATACCTATTTATGGAAACCCCTAAACGGTGGATGTTCAATTGCCATGCTTGATTGAGGATAGAACATACTGGGAGTTCCAAGGCGAATGAACCTGTATTGTGGGGAGGCTATCCAGGGTAGATGGTTTTACAAGCATAATATCTAGGTAAATTATAATGTTTCACTAACCTGAATTAAGACCGTTTGGGGATGATTTCCCTTATTCACAATGATTCCAGGGTTCGGGAGAACAGGGTTCGGCCGTGATGAAATTTACCGAGAAGAATGGATTAGCCTTCAATTAGTTGGCTGGATCAAATGCAATCGTTGGACTGATTCATTTAGATATGAAGGATCACGGATTGAGCGGCAATGTTTCTGTTTTTGACAACAAAATGGCTTTAGAAGGTCGCAAATGATGAGTAAAGCGCATGATGTGGTGATTGATATGTTATGAATAGTCGGATTTTCAGATAGGGAACAAACAAAAGCTTCCAGATATTTGCGTTGATTGTGGGGTTACATGGGGTTACCACCTGGAGGTTTCCTAAAATAGGGGTACCCCAAATCATCCAGTCGTCATGGATGAGCATTTTAGATCATAGTATTGAAACAACCATGGTGACTTTGGGAAATGACCTACCCCTCTGAAAAATATGAAAGTCAGTTGGGATTATTATTCCCAATATATATATATATAAAGAAAAAATGTTCCAAACCACCAACCAGCTGACTATTGATAATGAATTGGCGTTCCCCTCTTCTTTCTGTATTTTTGTGGGTCAAGAATTAACAACCCACTGGTGATCCAACTGCCAGAAGTGCACCAACGTTGATCTTCTCATTGAGGCCCATATCCAATTCACCATCAGTGAGATAGTTCATGGCGAAGTTCTAAGGATTCTAACGTAGTTAGCAGTCTAACCAATCATATGATACAAAAAGCCTGGTATAACTTCCGTCTCTCAACAGAATACGAGAATTGTCCTTCGTTTGTCTGAAAATTTGGCATCACAAACTCCGGTGTTTGACCATATTTTACCCTTAAGTTTTTGGCAAAGCTATCTGGGTAAATTATATAATATTTCACTAGCCTGAAATGTTGGGCCTCACATGGGGATGATTCATATCCCATATATATCCCATATATATTCCATATATTATAACCATGATTCCAGGCTGGAAAACAATGAGGTCATGATGAAATTTCCCCCTTCTGGGGTCAAAAAATTTTGACCCACGCCCTTCCAAAAAATTGGATCCGACTAGTGCCCGATATGTCGCTTCGTTTTGCAGATATTTTGCCATGGTGACCATCGTTGGTGGCTTATCGTTGGTGAATCAAAGGTATCCCCTTCTGACCTGGTTGATCAAGGACTGGTATATTGAGTCACTATGTGACTCCCCAGAAACAACCCAAATAACATCAAATAACCCAAGTAGTCAAGAAAGTGGTCAGGAGTCCTTGGGGAAATGATAGGTGAAATGATAGAATCAAGAGATCTGGAGCAATAATCCAATCTGAAAAGTTCTTTAGTAAACCCATCTTCCATTCCTCCAGCCGCCCGAAAAGTTCGGCCATTTTGGGGTCAAAAGTGAGAACAAAAAAACAATCCAATTCCCATCATCGACGTAATAGCAGGCACCATCCATCCAGATTCTCCTCATCTGCACCGCCATTTGTCTTGCCTTCCCCCCTATGAAAAACCAGTGTGGGCCCGAAAAAAAACGACACGGCACTGCCTTGTAGACGTTCGCATAACCTCCACTTCCGAGCACTGACAGAAGTCGCAGCTCACTGGGTTTCACGGTGAAGAATAAGGCAGCGTTAAGGGTCGTCTGATCAATCCGATCCTGGGCTAGGAATGCAACTGGATCCAACGATGCTGTTGAGCAACAGCAACCTCCAAAACCAAGATGCCAAGCATGGCGAAACCTGGAAAATATGAAGTGAATTTCATCCATAACTTCCTGGAAACACTGCTCTATCTGGGCTTGCTATAGCTAACAGTCATCAATGGCACCATCTGGCATCATCCGGCTATGACTCACACTGCTCGTAGAAACAGATGATGGTCAGCAGTTGTTGCTCCAGGAATCATCCGGGCCCAAGCATCCACGATTTAACAATTCACCATGAACAATTGGGGATTCATCAACAAGACTGTTTTTTTTGTACGCAGAAAGAATCGGGTGTTCATGGGAACCTTCGGAACGGAACTCTGATCACAAGCCAATGTCCCTATAAAAAATGGATCACGGCCGAAACCAACCATTGGACGCTGGTTCTTCGAAAGTTCCCAACCGAAAATTTGGGTTCCCCAGAAAGCACCAAGCACTGCGTTTTAGGCGACATGCTTCGTCCATCCCAAAGTCCGGAACTGCCACAAATTTTGGTAAAAGGATCACTTCAGAACACACTCTCAGGATCTCTCAGGCGTCACTTCAGAACACAGCCATTTTGGATCACTTCAGAACACAAAATAACACCCCGACATACACACACACATCAGATTTACTGACAGGCGCGAGACTTTGGAAGAAAAACGCGTTCCAAAGCGACACCAACACAAAAAACATCCTCCTATGAGAATTTGACTCGTTTCAACCATGTCATAAAGTCCCACGCCTGCCACGTAAAAGGACAGTCGATGTACAAAAGTGCCACACCTGCCATACAAAATGAAGGTCGATGTAACAAGGTCCCACGCCTGCCACAGAAAATGAAGGTGAAGATATGAAACAAAAGCCTTGTTGTACTTGATGTAAGAAGCCTTCTTGTACTTGATGTAAGAAGAGCAACGAGACCTTTAGGATTTATATGTTGTTGCACTTGATGTAAGGACTGCCACGACACCTTTAGGGTTTACATGTTGTTGCACTTGATGTAAGGACTGCCACGACATCTTTAGGGTTTATATGTTGTTGAACTTGATGTAAGCAGAGCCACGACACCTTTAGGGTTTGTATATTGTTGCACTTGATGTAAGAAGAGCCACGGCACCTTTAGGGTTTATATCTTGTTGCACTTGATGTCAGAAGAGCCATGACACCTTTAGGGTTTATATCTTGTTGCACTTGATGTAAGAAGAGCCACGGCACCTTTAGGGTTTATACCTTGTTGCACTTAAGTCACTTGATGTAAGAAGAGGCATGACACCTTTAGGGTTTATATCTTGTTGCACTTGATGTTAGAAGAGCCACGGCACCTTTAGGGCTTATATCTTGTTGTACTTGATGTAAGAAGAGGCACGACACCTTTAGGGTTTTATGTTGTTGCACTTTATCTAAGGACTGCCACGACAACTTTAGGGTTTATATCTTGTTGCACTTAATGTAAGAAGAGGCATGACACCTTTAGGGTTTATATGTTGTTGAACTTGATGTAAGAAGTGTCACGACACCTTTAGGGTTAATATCTTGTTGCACTAGATGTAAGAAGAGCCATGACACCTTTAGGGTTTGTATCTTGTTGCACTTATGTAAGAAGAGCCACGACACCTTTAGGGTTTATACCTTCTTGCACTTAATTTAAGGAGAGCCACGACACCTTTAGGGTTTATATTTTGTTGCACTTGATGTAAAAAGAGCCACGACACCTTTAGGGTTTATATCTTGTTGCACTTCATGTAAGAAGAGCCACGACGCCTTTTGGGTTTATATCTTGTTGCACTTGATGTAAAAAGAGCCACGACACCTTTAGGATTTATATCTTGTTGCACTTGGAGTAAGGAGAGCCACGACGCCTTTAGGGTTTATATGTTGTTGCACTTGATGTAAGAAGAGCCACAGCACCTTTAGGGTTTCTATCTTGTTGCACTTGGTGTAAGAAGAGCCATGAAACCTTTAGGGTTTATATCTTGTTGCACTTGATGTTAGAAGAGCCACGGCACCTTTAGGGCTTATATCTTGTTGTACTTGATGTAAGAAGAGGCACGACACCTTTAGGGTTTTATGTTGTTGCAGTTTATCTAAGGACTGCCACGACAACTTTAGGGTTTATATCTTGTTGTATACTTGATGTAAGGAGTGCCACGACACCTTTAGGGTTTATATCTTGTTGCACTCAATGTAAGAAGAGCCACGACACCTTTAGGCTTTATATCTCGTTGTACTTGATGTAAGGAGAGCCACGACACCTTTAGGGTTTGTATCTTGTTGCACTTGATGTAAAAAGAGACACGACACCTTTAGGGTTTATATCTTGTTGCACTTGATGTAAGGAGAGCCACGACACCTTTAGGGTTTATATCTTGCTGCAATTGATTTAAGAGGCGTGTTCGAAAGCGATGCATGAGAGCGCGTTCCGAAGCGATGCCTGAAGACGCGTTCCGAAGCGAGGCCCTTACCCACAATTTCTGGTTGGTTGTTGACCTACCCCTCTGAATATGAGTTCGTCAGTTGGGATGATGAAATTCCCAATATATGGAAAGTCATAAAATTCCATGGTTCCAAACCACCAACCAGATTTTATCGAGCATCAATCACCTCTGGCTCGTCGTCGCACTCACTTCCCTGGTTTGACATGCTGAACTCGCCTAGTAATCATCGACCGCAGCTATGCCTCAGCAGCCTACCACTGGAATCAGGAATTCAAACCTTGAGCAACATGGCGGCGGACGTCCACGCTTTTGGTTCACACAGTGAACCAATAAATTTTGAAACAAGTTGGGCGAATACAGCGGAAACTCTGCTTATTTGACATATGATGACGCTCCTGCGGTGAATTGCATCATGGTGATTATAGTGGAAATTTCCTCATTACAACAGCTTCGGGTCGAGGTTGCTAACCGCTTGCGCGCAAGCGAATATCACATCTATCCATGGAGTGACCTCGAAAAACATGGCGAAGTTTGCAAATGTTGCTTGAAAAACCATATCCTTTCACTATTCATCACGGAAATTGGAAGGCAAATATAATATACGTATCTATACATATCTATCAATTCAAGATGCATGAATATGTGTATATATATACATTATGTATATGTAATATATATATATATGTACAAACAGGTTCATGTTCTCTTTTCTTTCGGATCCCCCTTTCTTGAGACATCAGGGTCCTGCTATCGAGACAGAATGTCTCCTGCAAACATGATCGACTCCACGTAACTGGGATACCACCCACGTTCAAAATGGTTAAAAATCCATCCATGAGACGAGGATTGAACACCTCTTGGAAGATCTCCAATTCAGAAGGCTTGGTCACTAGAGATTCCGAGTTCGTGGATTACGATCATCCCCAAGATGTTTCCACGAATCCGTGTTCAGATACGCTAAGATCGATATGTATGGATCATTATGGATCCATGGAGCTTTCCGAAAATCAGGGGACTCCTCAGGCATCATGCCAGTCACCATCAAAATTTAGTATATGGTTTACCCTCTGGTAAAACTAACATAACTATGGAAAATCACCATTTTTCATTGGAAAATCCACTATAAATGGCCATTTTTAATAGCTATTTTGACATAACCAGAGGGTAACATCCATGGTGACAGGATCCCGCATGACCAAACCATGCCTGGTGCCAGCATGGAGAAATCGAAGCTGGCCAAACCATGGAGCTGTTCGATGAACTTCAACAGCATGGACCTTGGGACACTTGGGACACTGAATTAAGGCCAATAATGTGTTGGCAATCCAACTACGTCAATTTCATTCGTTTCGCCGTCAATTTCATACTTGGATTTGCTTGAGGAAACCCTCAAAAAAAGGAAGAAAAAGAAAAACACAATCCCCCAAGTGATCTGGGTAAATTATAATATTTCACTAACCTGAATTAAGGCCATTTGGGGATGATTAGCCTTACTAACCATGAATTCCAGTGAGGTCGCAGTGAGGTCGTTATAATTTACCCAGATATATGGTATATGGGTGTGTCTGAAAATAGTGTACCCCTAAACCCAATGGTTTTGCTGATCATTATCCCGTTTTTAAATGATATTAAATGGCTATTTCATTGGGAAGATTAACCCTATTTTCAGACAAACCCACTTGGGACACTTGGGACACTGACAAGCATGGCCCCTGTTTCTTCCAGTTTTACTTGGTAAATCATCCCATGGATCCTAAGTAGCTTAGAAAACTTATAACACCAAAATATCAAGTCTTCAAGATGAATAAATAAATAGGGGAAGGAATTACAATTTAATTAACAAAAACTATAATCACCAAATAATCATAATTTATCACTTCTATCAGCCTATGTTTGATGCTTTAAAACCCCAATGGCTGTATATCCGTTCTATCCACCATTTGATGATCAATAAGATAACTGTAACAATCAAATAATTCTATCATCAAATTACCATTGAATGACACACATATATATATATAATTTGCCATTAGTTACATAGTAAGCCCCAGAAAGATAGAAAAAATCATGCATCACTATGTGGGATTGTGTTTTTCTAGCTTAGGACGATCATTTTCCGAAGGAAACCATGGGTTTCCCACATCCCACGTATAGGGATGGGTCAAAACTGGTCAAACCCTGTAGCTCACAATAGCTGGGGTGGATCTTCATCCACAAAATTGTATCTATAGTCTGTATATAGCTATGGAAACCATATTTATTGTATCTATATATATAGGCATATGTATATATATACATAATTACTGTATATGATGGTGTATAAACATCATACCTATATATATATAGCTGGTGGAAACCAAATCGCCATGTTTCATCGGTAAATCAACTGTTTCTATATGGTACATGTTTCCAGTTCGCTATGTAGACATAACCAGAGGGTATATTCCCATGAATTTCATTAAACCACCATTAAACCACTATTAAACCATAGAAACAGTGGTTTTTGTGGAAACCACTAACACCATTAAACCACCATTAAACCATTAAACCACTATTAAACCACCATTAAACCATTAAACCTATTATAACATATGGTATATATCATCAACAGTGCTGCTAATGGTATATGGAAAATTATGGAAACCAAAAAATCGCCATAGAAAATCATCAACAGTCCGTGCTGTCGTGAAGCTTAATGGACTCTGGCGAAGTCACCACAATGCCACAGGCACGGCGGCACGCCTCGAAAAGGATGGCGAGGCGGTTGGATGGATTGGATCATGAAACATTGGGATTTTTCACCATCATTTTTCACCCAGAAACTTAAGGACATACCCTCTGGTTATGTCAAAATAGCTATTGAAAATGGCCATAGAAATAGTTGAATTACCCATAAAAAATGATGATGTTCAGTAGTTATGTTAGTTTACCGGAGGGTAAAAACAAGCAAGAAAAATGACAATGATGTCATGTGGATGTTTATATCCAAAAATGATGAAAACAATATGAAAACCATGTTTAGATGAACAAGAAGTGGATTTCAAGACACAGCACTGAGGATTTCGCTGGCCAGGCAACAAAATTGAGGATTTGACACAAAGAAAGAGGATTTTTCACATGAATAGAACATGATTCAGCAATTTTTGTGTATTTTTTTAGCAACGAGAATTAGTGACTTTTGTCGCAACGAAAACGGGGAAACTCACCGGGATTTTAAAGCCGACCGGGCCGACCGGGGACCGGAATGGATTGGTGAACTGTTGGACAATCTGAGCCGCGGACGTTCGATGTCTTTGATTTTTTTTACCATCAGACAAAAAAGGGGGTTCCGGATAAAATCCTCCCTTTTTTACCAATGCAATGATAAATACATATAAATACTTATGCGAGCTACGAATCTACACTGCTTGATACCAATCTACTTGCTATATAGGCTGCCTACGTAACAGGTATTGTAGACTCCTCCCTGCGGCTTACATGCGAGATACGAATACCAAATGCGTAGCAACTTCCGTACCGCCTACTATCCATATAGCATATGCCTCTGGTAAACGTTTACATAGCTAACAGTTTGCTATGTTTCAAATGGCCCAGTCGAAATAGTGGATTTACCCAACTATAAAATGGTGAAATGGCCATAGAAATAGTGGATTTACCCATTAAAATTGGTGATTTTCCGATATTTTCCATCGTTTTTTGTATGGAGCGACCAGAGGCTACCAACTGTGTATCATCTCCCAGGGGCACCATGACGGTGAGGGGGGGAAAAAAGGAAGGGGCGCTGGTAGGTACACTTACCATGGCGTTACATCTACAATACGTCGCAGGATGTTCCGTTACATATGTTATATACATGTGTATATATATATGATTATATATATATATAATTGTATATATATACAGTACATATCAATACCCATTTTGATTGGTTCCCAGTCCCCATGAACATGGTTGATACACTAGTGGCTGATATTCTTAAAGAATCCTGCCTCCAACTTGGTGTAGATCTTCATGATGGTCTCTGGGCAATCTTCCACTTGACGGTCAAATTGGAAGGTCACGATTCCTCAGTCCCAAATGCCTAATGCTCTGGGAGAATCTGGTGTCCTACATGAAGGGGTGATATTCGGCGTTAGAAACTTGGAACATAACTGGTACAAAGTTATTTTGGTGTTCACCACCGCAGGGTCAGTGTAGCCATCCACCAACGTTCGGGTCGAGATCTGTGGTGGAGCCAAAAAAGGTCTGTCAGAGCTGAAACCATGGAATCTTCCGCTTCAAGGGAGGCAAGGAAGAGCATATTAGGATAGACTGTTCAGACTGTTCCTTGAAGAGCATTTCTTCTTACTGTCCAAATGCCCGACCCCTGTTGTTTTCTATGGGATCAAATGCACTGCCCTCTTTGAACAATAAGATACACTGTTCAGCTCAAACTTCAGTGTTTATTCCATTGGATCAAATGCTCCAGGCAACCTCAGCGTTGCAGCGAACATATTTCATCATCTTGTAGATTCTCACATGTTTTTCAAAATCCCTGTATGTACGCATTAAGATGTATGAAGAAGATTTCCCCGAAATAGGGAACCAAACCCTTGGTTTTTTTAAGACATACATTCGCCATATTTGCGGTTGTCTGCACATGGGGTACCCCCAAATCCATTAGTTAATTATCCTCTTTTCCTTAAACAAAGTGTCATAAATTGGGGGATAGACCTCATTTTGAGACACACATATGACATATCATATTGTTGCTTCTATGGGATTATATATATACACATATATATAATATATATAATATAATATATATATATGTGTACATACATATCCCCTCCTATCCCTACGATTGATTCTCCACAAAAATTGCCTTGGTTCTCATTCGTGCCAAGGTTCTCTTGGGCGTGAGCCGAGAGAAAGAACTCCGCAGGATCCTGGGGACACCATGACTTCGGACAGCTCCATATATCAATGGGAATTCCAGGATCCTAAAATGGAGGTACTGTACCATATAAGGCCATATTTTGGGGGTATATCCCCTTACATAGGCCTTACATAGGCCTTACATATGGTAGGTACCTCCAATTTAGGTTCCTGAAATGGCCATTGAATATACAATTACCATCTGGTTAAACAGTTTGCCATGGAAAGAAAATCCACCCATTTTTAATAGGTAAACCCAGTTGTAAACCATCTATTTCGATTAGGGCCATCTATTTCTATACCATCTATTTCTATGGGAAAGATCCACCTATTTAAAAAAAAAAAGCTAAACCCAGTTGTTCACCATCTATTTCGATTAGGGCCATCGAAAAACCATGGCTACGTTCGTCATAACCAGCGGGTCGTCATGACAACGTGGGAGAAGTCGGGGATCGATGTCCACTGAAAAAATTAGACGTGAACTGCTTAGTAAGTGGGATGATCCACCAAGATTTTGGGTTTATGAGGTTTTATATTATTATATCTATTAGGACATTAACTATTTTAGATATTTAATAGTTGAATATCCACTGAGGTTTTCTGAGGTTTTAACTATTATATCCCATTAAAACGCCATTAAAACACCATTTAAGCACCATATGAAAACCAGCATCTAAAGAATTTAGATCCCAAATATTCCCAATTGATCAGTGGACTTTTTTTCAGAGTCCTAAAAATGTGGTACTGTAAGCCCTACTGAGTAGACCATCTCATGATCTGCTCTCTTAGAGATGGCTAGGTTCATGGCATTTTTATGTGAATCCCACAGCTGCCAATTTTCAATGGGAGATCTTCAGGATCAACTGGAGGTACCGATTCCATATATTTTTGGCCTATTTTTTAGGCCTTAATTTCAGTGAATATCCAAGATATGGCCAAACATATGGTACTAACGTACCTCCATCAATTGGATCCTGAAGATCTCCCATTGAAATTTTGCTTGGTGAATCTGGTGATTTTTGGAACGGAACCGCAGATGGAGACTTTCCAATCGATTTACGCAGGGCAGTTTCACCGTTTCACCTCTTATTTCAGCCGCGATCAATGCTGAAATGGGAAAGCGCTCACCCGCTAAGAGGGTTTGAAAGATGGGGAATGTACCCTCTGGTAAACTAACATAACTATGGAAAATCATCATTTTTAATGGGAAAACTCACTATAAATGGCCATTTTCAATAGCTACGTTAAATTACCAGAGGGTAACCCAAAAAATCACGGAGTTCACAATCCGAAGAATGGAGATTGCTGGAACCGTTCCAGATCTGCGGCTTTTCATAAGCCCTAACAAAAACAATCCTGAAATGGGGCTTGGTCAGATCTTGTGAGGTTAGCATTGATGTTTGGTCAAAAAGGCTCGGTGAATTTTCGTCCATTTTCGATTGGTCAGAAAGGTGTTGTGATCCACTCAAGTTTTGACTAAACTTAGTAACTTGGGGAAGCTATGTGAATTTAATCTGGTTGGTGGTATACCTAGCCCTCTGAAAAATATGAAAGTCCGTTGGGATGGTGGTTTCAACCCCTCTGAAAAATATGAAAGTCCGTTGGGATGGTGGTTTCAACCCCTCTGAAAAATATGAAAGTCAGTTGGGATGGTGGTTTCAACCCCTCTGAAAAATATGAAAGTCAGTTGGGAGTATTATTCCCAATATATGGAAAGTCATAAAATTCCATGGTTCCAAACCACCAACCAGCCGGGGTACCCCAAATCATCCAAGTCATTAGACTATGACTTTGTATTGAAACCCAACCCCCACTTTAGGAAACTTCCAGGTAGTAGTAAATCCATGGAATCTCAAGAAAAGTCAATTTCATAGCCGGTGTGAGTTTTGCAGGCGTTGCGGGCAGTCCCCCGCAGATCAAGGGATGCAAGCATGACCAAGCCCCTCAAAAAGACATCTGAGTGGGATATGGAGTTCCCTTTGTAAAGGTTAAAGTTGGTGAAACTGTAATCCCAGAAGAAGAAAGTAAAATCATCATTCACCTTGTGGTTTGCCATCTAGCAATTTGACAGTGGGCTTTGGAATCGCCTTCAACAATACCTCTGTTTGGGGGACTTTCCCATTTATATAAACTTGTGGTTTTCCAATGTGTTCCAGCCATCTTTGATTACCAGATGGCAAATCCACGAATATCCTATGATTATCCCAATATTATCCCAAGATTATCCCCATTGGACAATATCAAACCATATAGTTCATCCATTTCCCAACTTTTTTTCGCCGTTCTATCCCAGCATCTGTCTTGTCTGGTCCAGCAAGGGACCTCGGTAATCCCAACGAGCCATGTAGGTTTATGGCTGGGAAAATCATCAATCTCAATTCAATGGCCATGACTCAGGAACCGATTGGACCTCCCTGGAACATTTTTGGCCTATTTTTTGGGGGCTAGATTGGGGATCTACCGCCATTTTTTTTGGCCCAAAAATATGGTACGTACTAACGTAGCCCCCATAGGATCGAGATCTCCCATGGAATCGATCCATGACCCATGACCACGGGCCGATTTCAGAGGCCGAGGAAATTCGAAAGCGATGATCATTGTGTATATAATATAGTCCATGTATGTATGTATGTATGTATATGTATGTATGTGTATGTATGTATGTATGTATGTATGTATGTATGTATGTATGTATGTATGTATGTATGTATGTATGTAATGTATGTATGTATGTATGTATGTATGTATGTATGTATGTATGTATGTATGTATGTATGTATGTATGTATGTATAATGTATGTATGTATGTGTATGGTATGTATGATGTATGTATGTATGTATGTATGTATGTATGTAGTATGTATGTATGTATGTATGTATGTATGTATGTATGTATGTATGTATGTATGTATGTATGTATGTATGTATGTATGTATGTATGTATGTATGTATGTATGTATGTATGTATGTATGTATGTATGTATGTATGTATGTATGTATGTATGTATGTATGTATGTATGTATGTATGTATGTATGTATGTATGTATGTATGTATGTATGTATGTATGTATGTATGTATGTATGTATGATGTATGTATGTATGTATGTATGTATGTATGTATGTATGTATGTATGTATGTATGTATGTATGTATGTATGTATGTATGTATGTATGTATGTATGTATGTATGTATGTATGTATGTATGTTGTATGATTTAAAAAAAAAAAAAACATAGTCCAATATAGTGTATATTATACATATAATGTATGATCAAAAAAAAACATAGTTTATATATGACATATGACAATTGTCCATACGATTTCACTCGCTAATTCCAATGACTCGATCAATCCTCAAAGCATGTTCCACTAGCATATTGAGGTGTCATAAGTCATAGGGGGGAACCTAAGCTGTGATCATCCATATCATCCATGTTCTTTTCGAATGAAATCAACCAGCTATTGGGCTACCCGACCTGGTAAACATACAAAAAACGAACTGGAAAATCACTATGTTTACTGGGTACATCAACAAACTAAATGGCCTATTTTTATGCCATTTTCAATAGCAAACTGTTAGTTTACCAGAGGGTATCCCCATTTTTCATGGAAACCTCCACACCGTGGGGAAACCTCCGCCACTCCGGGTTTCAAGGCACTGGGCATCACCTGCGTGACCAAAACTTCAGGTCGGGCCAAGATTGTAGAGAGCAAAGGTCCCACGACCTGACGGGCAACTGAGATACCCTCTGGTAAACGTTTACATAACTATGGAAAATTACCATTTTTAATGGGAAAATCCACTATAAATAGCCATTTTCAATAGCTATGTTAAATTACCAGAGGGTACCATTGATTGGTCAAGGGACGGTTAGGGATGCCTATGAACCAATTATGAAAAACTAGCTGGTGAATATAGGGGACTATGATAGGCCACAGGGATACCTATCAACTTGTATTTCATGAGATGGGATAGGGCCGGATAGGGGTATTTGTTCGTGGCGCAACTAAATCTCCAGGGTCAGGAAACGTCATCTCGGAGAGACTGGGAGAAATTTCCACAAGTTGAAACGGACAATCCATGTTTTTTGCCCAGTTCTTGAGGGCTTTGTTCAACTCCAACAGTGTCGAAACTGGAACTGAAACCTGCCATTTTTGATGGGAGAACCCATGAAACCAACCGAGAAAAAACATTGTATCCGGCTTCTTTCCATGTTATTTATATGATATCTACATACGTATATATATATATACACAACATATGATATGATATAAACTATACCCATAATCTATGTCACATAGCATATCAAATTACATTGTTGCTACATTCAATATACACATATCAAATATGCATTAGATTGTGTACTATGTATTAAACATACAATACGTATATATATATACACTGTACAAACAATATTATACTACTATCTGATATTACATATACGTTCTATATTTGAGATATATATATATATATATTAGATCATATACTATGTGCTATATATATACTATACAATCAAGATTATATTATATACTATAGATAATATGAATACTATATATAAAGCATGTTAGTTAAAATGTACGCTGTAGAATCTCTATCTAGGCATGTGTTATATATATAATTCATATTATATGGATATACTATAGATATTACAAATATAATAAATTAAAGAACGTATATATTATCATATACATATTGTAGATAAATATAGTCAAACCATGTTGCCAACTATATAAACTACTGAACAACAAGATTACTCTATATATATATAACATCATCACTTATACTATGATATAAAGTATATATGTCATGATAAAATTACTATATATATATACACAATACATACTGTATATGTCCGTAGGTGAAAATACTGTGCAGTGCATATATATATATATATGTATGTATATACATATCTACGTATATATCTATCTATTGTATTATACTATATCATTGTATCATATCGCATTATATTATTATATCTTATATTACATTGGATTATATTATGTCGTGTTGCATCATGTGGCATTATATTACTATATCATATTACATTATATCATGTATACGCATATACATATATATATACGGTATATGCATTATACAAATAATATATATATACATCTGGATCCTCTTGATCGTGGAAATTTCCACACCAAAGCCAAAATCGATCAATTTCGCCAAAATCAAGAAAAAAAAACTCCTGAACACTTATTTCCACTCCAGAACGCTTCCGAAAGCTTTTTGAATGCTTTTTGAACGTTTTTTACCACTCCAGAACGTCCGAAGTATCCCGAACGGCAAAGACTACTCCGGTGTTCTTTTCTCCACACTAACCCCCAAAATCAGTCTTTTTTGGGATTTGGAGTTTAAACAAATCCAGTATTGGGAAGCTCCAGGTATAGACGCATTATATAGCATTTATCGTATATCATATTTTATAAATAAAGTATCATGTTTGTTGTAACAATAAATCAAATATATATATATATATATATACATTATATACATCATATTGTATGTATTATTATGTATAGTATCATATATTATTATGTAATTGTACTATCTATTAGTTTTGTATGATGCATGTATGTATACATATATATATATGCTATCTTTACGTGTATATATATATACCAATAATATTTATATATAATATATCCAAGTATTGTAAATACTTATATGTTTTTATTCTTCGTTGCGATGGCATATTCAACAGTATATCATCCTTTATCGTGTTATAAATCATGTATGTATGTGTATACATACATACATTACATTACATTACATTACATTCCATTGCATTACATTACATAACATAACATACATACATATACTTAGGTTATGCCAATGAATATTATACTATGACTTTCCACATATAGTTATTGCATCTATTGTGTACATTGTATATTGTATCTGCTGTACATATAAATATGTCATGAACACAGCCGTCATATTATATATCACATATGTATTCCAATATATGTATGTGTATATATATATACAGATACGATAGAGTTCGTCTTTACAATCGTATGATACCCTCCGGCAAACTAACTTAGCTATTGAAAATGACCCAGTCGAAATAGTTGATTTACCCAGCTAGAAAATGGTGGATCTTTCCAGTTCGTTTTTTGTATGGAGCTACCAGGCCGGGTAAATGTCTCATATCATATTTAAAACAGACATGTTACCATCAAATGATACTGGAACATCAAATGATGGTATACAGCTTGTATCTAATGATTGTATATTATATCTAAATTTTACCATCTATTCAATATTTAAAATATACTTCTAGAACAGCCATCAAATGATGGTATATTCAAGATCGATCGATCCCACGATGGGATCGAATGCTGCAAAAAAATCATGAACACCACCAGCAAAAGCTGGTAGACTTCCATCAAAACCCAGCAAAGTCGTATTAGATCCCATCAAAGCCCGAAAAAATGTTGTTGTTCAAAAATTATCCAATCCTTTTCTCCGAGATGCTGTCGTCTTGCCTGCGCCCATGATCATTTGTTGCACTCTGGACTTGCCATCCTTGTAGCTTTGCATGAACCTAGGGATACAAATGGCGAACCAAAAGAAGCACCGAAATTCGCGAAACCCAAAGAAAATGAATAGTTGAAACGAGGAGATTCTCTAAAAGCCCAAACTTCACAATGTCTTGAATCTATTTTGCCTCAACATGCTTATTGGCACGATTTCTGAAAGTGTTTTTAAGCAATGGTTGGAAAGTGATGTTGAGGATATTGGTGCAGTTCTCTTTTCCTTTCAAGCACTCTGAGATCAGACCACCCTTTCTACATTCAGGGGCCCTGCTCCCAATTGATGTGGATACAAATACCCCGATCGCTTTTGGCTATCTACCAAGTATCAGATACATCAGATGATTGGTTTTCCGGAATCAGCCAGATATCATGTGGGCAGGGCCCATCATTGCATACGATTGTATCACATGTGTACGTATTATACATATATATATAGTATGATGTACATATACATATGATGATTGCACATGCATACATTGTCTACACATACATTCTTGCCAACACATGACCGAAATGTCAGGAAATGTCAGGAAAGGTAGTGCAGCTTGTTTTAGGTATGTTTGACCCATCAAAATTCCCGGGCTCCCGTTGATGTCAAGTTGATCGGAGCATCGCCGGGAAACCAATCGACCATTTCAACTTGACGCGGGCGGAGCACGATGTGCTGCATGAACTCGAAGATCAGAAAGCCTTGAAGAATAGTTCAACTGAAAGCGGCCAGTTGCGGCATAGATTCATCCCTCAGAATATCTCAGAATGAGATATAGATTTGATGATTTGGGCATTTCGTGGGGCCCCGGCAATCTACAAAACAATATTACTTTTATGAACATCTCAGGAGCCCCCAAAGATAAAACGCGCAACATCCACAGCATCGTCAGTGAGCTCAAAGAAAGCTTCAACCTCAACCAACTGGTTCATAAGGATTCCTATTGCGGATGATATGCCCATGCCCATCCAATAAAAGTTTGCAGAAATCCTGTATGACTTTATTATATGACTATCAACCAACAAGCGTTTTGGGCATTGCTGATGTGGTGCGGCTGACCTTGCCTCCCAGCCACAACATAACAGGATCCAACTGATTAATCATAATAGGAATAGCCAATCCACCAACATCAACCAACAATCCTGCTGGAATGCATTACAACACAAAGAAGAATGGGATATCAAGCTTCCTCCATTATTCATTATTCTTGATACAAATCATATCTGAATTTCATGGTTTTAAAAATACCGTGAAAACCTATCCATTCCGATCTAGGCAAGATTTTCTTGTGACCTTTAGGGGACGAGATCTGAAAACCAGGCCGTTTTTGGAGCACAGCCAAGCATCGAGGATCGAACACAAAGTGTCCTTCTGGCGCCTCCGGAGCACTGCTGTGACATTCGGTGTCATCAAACATGGCAATGCAAAATCCCGAAAAAATGGGGCTTTCCAGGCTTTCCATAGTTTTTGTTGGGGTACCCCAAGCTCGCTGGATGGTTTATTTCATGGAAAATCCGAACATCAAATGGATGATGAACAGGGGCACCCCTTGAGGAAACCCCAAATGAATCCATTGCCGTGTTTGATTACCAGATAGTAAGCCCCCAAACCTTCAAACATAGGAAATGATGGAAAATGTCAAGAACCCCTGGGTGTTTACCCATGGTGGCCAGAATTCAAATTCGTGGGGGCCTGAACCCAGAGTGTTACAAATGGATCTTAATTTCTGATTTTGCTTCTGGATTTTCTGCCTGGGTGCTTCAATCACCAACAGATCAGCCCTTCATTTTGTGGATCGTGGGGAGTTTCCGGCACAGGGCTACCGGGTCAGCGTCGCCCAAGTGACAAATCAAGGCGGTCTGGTAGTTTCAACAAATATCCCAAGCGAGTTAAGGTCAATGGTGGACCATCATCCGGAATCTAAAGATACTTAAAACAGCTTGAAACCAACACCCAAAGGAAAGATGGGCTTGCCCCCAATTCCGGTGGATTGGCTTGTCATTATCCCCCTCAAAAGGGTATACCCGATTTTTGGGCAAAACCAAATGACAAAACATGCAGAAACCATTGCCTTCGATGGCTTGGAACAGCCCTGGAAAAAATCCAAAAGATCGCGATAAAAAATACATGTGTCTTGGTAAATTATAATATTTCACTAACCTGAAATGTTGGGCCGTTTAGGGATGATTCCTCTTACTAACCCTGATTCCAGGGTTCGGGAGAACAGTGAGGTCGTGATGAAATTTACCCAGATTTATATATACATAATTATATATATATATGGAAGTTTCCCAAAATGGAGGTACCCCCAAATCATCCATTTATAGATGGATTTTCCAGGAACTCCACACTTGGATCTTCGACTACTGAAACCACTCCATCATTCCTAGGAGAAAAATGAAAAAGTTTTCCCCAAGTTCTGAGAGGTCTGTCTGCTGGACAAATCTCAGTCTGAAATGTTCAACTGGGTAAATTGGGTCAAAACTGGGTACCCTCTGGTAAACATACAAAAAGCTATTGAAAATGGCCCATGGAAATAGTTGATTTACCCATATTTACCCATTAAACATTGTGATTTTCCATAGTTTTTTGTTAACGTTTACCAGAGGGTAATCATTGTGAAAATCATGATTTATCAGTTTATATCAGTTTACCATTATCATGATTCATGATTGATCATTCAAAAAATCACATCCCCCTAGTACTAAATATCCCTGAGGGTCCCTGGACCCCCCAAGTAAACAACCCCAATACTAAACCAGGGTTTCTTGGGGTGCATTTCACATTGGAGGGGAAGGGATTCATTCATGTTCACCTCCGAATCAACATAGATTGGGATACATATCCCTTGTTGCACTACTGTAACATAAGACACCAAACATGCAGCAAAAATGGAGCCAAAACTGCTTTTGGCTACAGTGAATATGTAAAAGTGACAGCCCTGCAGCCGTTTCTGGAGATCATTTCGGGGTATAATTTTTCTGGTGCCTTTTTGGAATTTCCTGAGTGATAAGCCAAAAAGAAACATCTTTGAACTGTTTCTGGAGGCACTCACCCAACTGATACCCTCTGGTTATTTAACATAGCCATGGAAAATCACCATTTTTAATAGGTAAACCCAGGTAAACCATCTATAAATGGGCCATTTTCCATGGCTATGTTAAATAACCAGAGGGTAAATCATTAATTAATTCATGACTTCCGTCCCGTCAGGAATCTGAGCCGTTGCCCCACCATCCAGAATGTCTACACCTGTAGACATCCCGCCCAAAAAAAATACCCTCTGGTAACTGGTAATCAAATGGTTTTCGTACGAATGGCCGTTTTAATGGGAGAATCATTGGTAAATGCTGGATTTTCCTGCAAGACACGTTTGAGTACTGGAGGGTATGGAATGTGATCCTAGCTAGTGGTGATCCCCTTCGAATTCAAAAACCTGAGGAGCCTCCGCTAACTATGTATGTTCAAAGTAAACCAAAAAAAACGACTTGGACTACTTCGGTTTTTCCACAGATAAGGCACACCGAAATCCACTGGTGCATCAACATGTTCGCTTCGAAAGCGACGATATTGGTGTATAGCTCCATTTCTAGACGCATCCACGTGTCATATTTGCTTGAGTTGTGTATCCTAATTATGTCCCTAATATATAACATATAATATATAACATATAATATATAATATATTATATATAATATATAATATATAATATATAATATATAATATGTTATATATAATATACAATATGTTATATATAATATATAATATAATATATAATATTATATAATATATAATATATAATATAATATAATGTATATATATATATATACTAATTGTATCCCAGAAGATTTCCCCAATTATCCCATAAAGAAATATGTTAGAATATATCTTCCATAAACTACATCCATAAAGTAGATCATCAATAATATACAAATTGGTGGTTTCAACCCCCCTGAAAAATATGAAAGTCAGATTGGATCATCATCCCAACTATTGGGGAAAATGGAAAATTCATGTTCCAAACCACCAACCAGTATAGAAATATACTGTCAGTGCCAGAATTATAGAACGGAAGTTGAGGAGTACGAAGGTACGGTTATTTACCGTACCCTGTTGTTCTATAATTCTGTTTTCCTCGGAAGGTGTGAAAAAAAAACGTATCTGAATTTACTCCTAACTTTTTTCGTCGTTCTATAATTCTTGTCGGAGCGCTGCTGTTCTATAATTCTGTTTTCCCCCATTTTTCTCACATTTCCCATTTTCGTTCTATAATTCCTGTCGGAGCGCTGCTGTTCTATAATTCTGTTTTCCCCCATTTTTCTCACATTTCCCATTTTCGTTCTATAATTAATGTTTCCCAGGCCCCGTTCTATAATTAAATTTCCCGACTCCGCGCGGAATCGGAACCCGGAGGAGTACAAAGGTACGGTATTTTACCGTACTTTTGTACTCCTGGCTCCGTTCTATAATTCTGGCACCCGCTGTAGATATTTCTCGTGCCAATTTCTCGTGGTATCCGCATCACGTGGGATTCATCCAAGTCATCACCATTTTTTATGGGTGCTGTGTAAAAAAAAAGTCCCCAGTCATGGTAGCTCTGGCAAATTGCCATGCCCTACACATGATATTGCATAGCATGACCATGTGAATATGTATATATATATATGTATATCATATACATTTGAAGATGATATACATTTTACACATAAGCATTCCATGTACATGTATATATATATATATAAATGTATATATAGCATTGGGTTCATTACACATCATATCTCATGATATGGGGATGTGTCAAAACCATTCAAAAACCTATGAAATTACCATATGACTGGGGGAATTGTTACATCCATAAACCAGCTAATATTGGGGTACCATTTGGGTGCTAGGGTTTTGACTCATACAATGTGGGGCCCGTCAAAAGTTGGTTTATGAACCCCAGTAACTGTAGTTATAAGTACCATAAACTCTAGTTGGAGTTATGTTCACCAACTGTAATGGAATATATTACCCATCATTGATACCCCATATATCCCATTGATACCCCATCATTGTTCACCAACTCAGCTATCGTTTGTGCGGCCCCACGTTTTTTTTCCATACCCTCTGGTAAACGTTTACATAACTATGGAAAATCACCTCGTTTTTTTAATATGGGAAAACTCACTATTTCTATGACCATGTTCAATAGCTATGTTAAATTACCAGAGGGTATGTTCCTATATTTTCCCATGGTTTACCAGATGGTTTACCTATTAAAAATGGTGATTTTCTATAGCTCACCAGAATTGTCCATCCGAAGATCGCCTGGCGCATATAACACCTGCGTTCCGTCAGCAGCTCAGCGAGGAAACTGATCTCCTGTTGGAGTGTGGTGAACTCCTGGCCCACTTTGGCGCCAATGGCGGCTGCAGAGTTTGCGCCTTGAATTTTTTTGGGGCTGGTGAAAACTGGTTTCTAAAAATCTGGGTAAATTATAATATTTCACTAACCTGAATTAAGGCCATTTTGGGATGATTCCCCCTACTAACTATGATTCCAGTGAGGTCGCAGTGAGGTCGTTATAATTTACCCAGAAAAATTTCATGGATTTTCCAAGGTTAGACCGTTAGACGATCCGAAGATATCAATTTTTAGGGTTCCTGAAATACTTGATCCCCCAAGTCACCATGGTTGTTTCAATACTATTTGATGGTCATACATGACTGGACGATGTGTATAACTTTGGAAACGAACCTCACATTGTCACATAGAAAAGTGGGAAATCTGGAAATATGTGGTAAGTAGCATATTTACCATCCGGTGCCATCAAACATGGCAATACAAATGCAGGTTTTAAGGGACAATCATCAGCAAATGGCGTAGTTCAACACCTAGACCTTCCAATACATCCGAAAAAAAAAAAAGTAAAAGTACTGAAATGAAGGGGTAAAACACAATTTTACACAATTTTGAAGGCTACAAACGGAGGGGCTAGGTAGATGGGGTTCTACCCTAATGAAGCACAGTGGCAGCAGATGAGGTTTAATAACATGAAATAGATCACGCCCAGGCGATCGGAGCCACAATGGTAGAAGACACCAGTGGGTTGCACTCACCAAACATGTCATGGGTTTTTAGGCCGCTGCCCGCAGGAACGACCCACGAAAGCCCCCAAAAAAACTTCGGCAATGGTCTGCTGAAATGAATGTGTGATTTTTGGATCAAAACCCTGGAATCTGCACATCACAGCTGCAATTTTTTTTTTGGCTGTTGAAAGAAAAGCAGCCACACCCCTTCAGGTGGAAACATGGGAATTCCCATTCCCAAGAAGTGACTGCTGGAGAAGGATGATTTTCCCAATGCAAATTGCCATTTTGGAGGTGTACCTCATCTTCGGACAAAATCAAATATCATAGTGTTGGTTCCATATCCGCATACAATCCCAGTTTTTTATCCCCCTTAGGTTTGGGGATAAACCCCCATTTTTGTTGGCAAAAAGATGACAAATTTGGATGTATATCATGCCAGATATATCCCAAAAGCAATGTATCAGCCAATGTATGTGGGATGAATTAGATCATCCATAAGAACATAGATATTCATTAAGGGATTCGAGGAAAATGATAAGATAAACTATATCCAAATCATAAATCATATCTTCTCATTATATAGATATATAAATATACATACATATATAGGTATATATATATATATGTATATGTGTGTGTGTGCAAATTATATCCCATTATTATTATATCCCATAAAAATATCCCTGTTGCAACTATGAGTTTGTATCAACCCCAACAAATCGTTGAAGCGTTTGGACTCCTCCGAGGTCGCTGTTCGCAGGGAAGCAGAGAGGCGTCGACAGAGCCTCAGACACCAGCGAAGGGAGGTCGGGAAATTTGGCCATTTGGGGCTGGTTGATTTCATGGAAAATCCCAAACAAAATGGATGATTTATATAGGGGTACCCCCATTTTAGGAAACCATCCATCCATAAAATTATTCAGAATGTGGGATTCACCCAAGAATAAATACAATCCCCTTAAGTAATCACCATTTGGTGGTGGATGCTAGAAGTAGAAGTAGAAAGCATCCGAAGTCATGGGAGTTGTTTTTTGCAAATTGTGTGGCTGCCACAGCCTGAATGTGATCTTTGAAATGGTACATAAGGTACATAATAGGTACATACCATTACATACCTCATCGTTTTGTTTTTATTTTGAATACGTTTCTCCAATTTGTGTGTCATGTTTTCGTCATTTTTTCGACCTGGAAAAGGGGGGAAGTCACAGTGAAATTCTCCCATTGGCTTATCACATCTCATCTGGGTAAATTATAATATTTCACTAACCTGAAATAAGGCCATTTTGGGATGATTCCCCTTACAAACTATGATTCCAGTGAGGTCGCAGTGAGGTCGTTATAATTTACCCAGATCTTATGGTATGGTAACTGCCAAGCAGTTTCTGTGGCTCAGCTACTCAGGTCCATGTTGGCCAAGCAGCTGCGCACAGCGTCTCGCCTGTAGGTGTCGACCAGAGAGCAAGGCGACCTGGAGTCAACTCGAAGGAATTGGACACAGCTTTCGGAGATTTTGCATCTTCAACGAAGTTCACTAATCCTCAGAATCCACATTTTAGAGTTACAAGGAACACTGGATGTAACAACATTCCCACCTGTAAGGAACGATCTGCAGGGAACACAGGTTTTTACGTATGTTTTTTTGGTGGCCCAAAGTTTGATCGATTGATTTCTGTTTCCAGGATTGATTTTCCCAGGTCCCAATTCTCGGAATCTGGAATGGTCTCCAAAAATGCGGGGTGGGCACCAGAATCGATGTCGATTCTGATCGAAAAAAATAGGATTGCTCAGGCGATATTTTGGGATGTGTGACAAAACCACTAGAATATCAGCACAACATAATGGTGCCCCACAGTTCTGATTTGGTTTATGCACCCCATTGAACTATGTAGATATGGAAGTTTCCTAAAATAAGGGGACCCCTGTAAGTCATCCATGTTATGTTCGGATTCTCCATTACAAACCATCCAGCGAGCTTGGGGTACCCCCATGACTATGGAAAGCCAAATAAAATAAATACTAGTTATATTACATATAGGTGTATTATTGTATAATTATTCATAATCCCCATCCAATACATAGCCATACATAGATGGTATAATGGGGATAAAAGAATTTCATAAACCATTCCCCAGTCATCACCGTAAGTAAATAGGTGGTATAAACCATTGTAAACCATTCCCAAATGGCAGTGTGTCAAAACCAATAGTACCCCTGTAGTTCACATCAAAATAGCTGGGATTTATGGATGTTCATCCCCCTAAAAATGGTATTTTCATAGGTATTGATCCATACCCAAATGGGTGGTTTATACCCCAAAACCCATGACAGGCCCAGTTCGGCCAGGCATCCGCCAGCAGTTGCTGAAGCACATGGCTCCAGTTCTGTCGATGCGGATTTAGGCGATGGAAATCCGCCTGGGCAACTCTGGCCCGAGATGTTCCGGTGGAAAATCAAACATAGCAATAACAAAATCCTCTAGAAGTTTGGCAAAAAGTAGCAAAAAACAAACTACAAATGGAGCTTTTCATGTAACATGAAGACCATGAAGAGAATAGTGAATATCCTAGAATACAATGGGGATATGGTGGGATTTTGCTGTGGGACTCTATTACCCTCCGCTGTTGTCCAACACGGCTTTTTCAGAATGTCCGCTGTTGTCAACGCCAAAAAGGCATCCATCCCAACGATGATTCCCCTGACATCCCCTGACCCATCCTCGGCGACTGAGCTCACAATGCAGCTCATTGCATAGTCAAAGCTAATGAGTTGCTCCATCCGGCACCTGGGCGTTTGCGCCTTCGCTTGAAGTTGCGTTGCACAACTTCAATTCATGAGTCACTTGGGATGATTTTCCATTCCCAAGTGAATGGAAAGTGATAAAATTCCATGGTTCCGAACCACCAACCAGATGATAATTTGAAGGGAAGAAGCTCGATCAAACTGCGTGGAGGAGCCGCAATGGCAGGATGGACCACTATGTAAGCACCTGTTCAAGATGTTTTAGGGGAAAACATGTCAATTTTCTGAAATAATTCCCACCATCTCCAATTTTGAACATATGAAAATGGGTCAAAACCATGTTTTTTTACCATCAAAAATGGTGATTTTTTTACATCCAAGGGGACCAGGCGTTTTTAACACGCTTTCGACCTATTTTTCTTCACCATCGTTTCATCAATATCTTCATCCAAAAAACCAATGTCCAGAACTCGACATTGGTTACCCTCTGGTAATTTAACAGTTTGCCATTGAAAATGACCATAGAAATAGTGGATTTTCCCATTAAAAATGGTGGATCTTTCCATAGTTACGTTAAATTACCAGAGGGTAGTTCCAATAGGGCGCCAATGTTGTGAGCAGGAGCGTTCATGGATTCAACATGATGAAAAACCGACTGCGGGAGTTCGATGTGTAGAAATCCCTCAATTTTGAAGAAAAGCAACATGTTGACCGAAAAAAAATGCCAAAAACGATGGTATCCACTAAAAATCCATTTTTGCCTAATTGAAACTAGAAGAGCAAGAATCAGCTGCTCCCAAATGTGAAAAATCCCAGTCGTCGAAAGGCAAATCTCGTTGCAACTTGAACTCGAAAACCTCGCGCGCAGCAAGCCATACCCCACAGAGCCCCGGCAGCCCTGGCAGCCCTGGGCCCTGTTTTTGGATGCCTTTTTCGAAGCCAAGAAAAGGGGAGAACATCCGATGGGCTGGGGATTATATACTCAGATCTGGTCACTTGTCTAGTCTCATGTAGATATTCACCTGGTTATCTTCAGTCTCTTGATTTTGGGGATAGCATAAGATAACACATGGTTAATGGTTGTTAATAGTGGTTAATAGTGGTTAATAATGGTTATATAATAAATAGTAATGATGTTATCATAGTAATGGTAAATCATAACATATAATAACTATATGGTAATAATGGTGAATTTCGTAATGACGATAGCACTATAGTTATCATATGTTATGATTAAATCCATGTGCTGCGACATTTCGGAAATGCTGTGAAAAGGTGCCAGGTTTCACCGATGAAAAGTTCTCCATGAACCCGGCAGGGAAAAAAAACATCAAGAAACATGCAACAGTCACCATCATTCACCAGTTGTCATAAGTTTTGATCAAAACTCTTCACTTTAGTTTTCACTGATCTATGTCTATGTTTTTTGTATCGTTTCATCATGTTATCATCAAGCTGTTTCATCATGGTTTTATGCCAGACCTCTTCGAGTTGTGGTAGCTCATTGGCTTCGCTGAGCAATGCTTCCATGGCCGTCCGGAGCCTCAGAAAAACGCCGATGTCGGAGGAAAATGTGACAGGAAAACCCCCAAAAATTGAATGGGGAAAAACGGATGGTTTCCATGGGAAAAAAAAAACAATGGTTTCCGGATTTAGGTTTTTCCCGACTAAACTTGACTAAACCAATCCATTGAAGCATCTAATATGGCCTTCAGAAGGTTAACATGATTGTTTCAGAAATGGCGTTCCATATGAATCTCGTGAAATCCCCACGGGTTAGGCCATCCCCCAGGAAGAAAAAGCTGGGGATACCATAACAACTGGGGCTGGTGATTAGGGGAATGGGATTAGATGGGATTAGATGGGATTAGATTCTTTAGAAATAGTTTTTTGTTTTTTAAGAGGATCAAAATTGCTGTGGCAAAGCCTCTTCAGCATGAATCGTGCCAAATTCAAACATGTCTGGGTTACAATAAAGAACCAATAAGTCAGACCCAACTGGGGTTGGTTGTTGGATATACCATATATACCGTACCAGATATTGCCAAATCACGGTTTCCAATACACAATTCTTATCAATGCTTGGGAGTCCACAGGCCCACTCTCCAAATACCCAGGCTGTGGATCAAAATCGAACAAATCAGCGCCTCAGAGAAAAGGCTGGTAGCTATGGACCACTTCTTGGAATTTCATTGGATTTTGTCTGTCGCATCATTTCAGAGTTGAATATATAATTATTTCTATAATTGATATATATATATATATTGATATATATATATATATATTGATATGACCAGTGATGTTCATGTCAGAGGAAAGAGGTGGTTTGATATTTTGACCCCCAAATGGCATGCGGCCAGGCTGCTTTTGATAATCATCCTTGGAACTCGCCTCCAGGACCTACGGACGGAAGTTGTACCCCTGCCACCTGGTAAAATCGACTCGACTCCAACAACCAAAGGTTGGGAGAACACGACCACCACAGAAACCCCACTTTTTCATCAATTCACAGGTTTCACCCCAGATGATAACCTCAGAAACAAAGCATCCCTACCAAATTAATGGGGGGGGACCTCTGGAAAATGTAACTTACATTTTTAGGGCCTAGAAAGTTCATGTTCTTTTCCCCAGAGATTTCGGAGCCTGGAAAATGTACTGTTACATGTTTGAGGCCACCCCCCAAAAAATTGGGTGTGCTGCCTAAATGTAACTTACATGTTTTGGGATAATGTAAGTTACATGTTCGAAGGTTTTCAAAGTTACCTTTTTGGCAATCCGCTAAATAATGGACAAACATGGACGCGCCATGTTTATATTCAAGCCAATTAGTATCTTCATGTATCTTGTGATCTAAAACCTGCTGATGGGGGGACCTTCCAAAATGGAACTTACATTTTTCGTGCCCCCCCTCCCAGTTTTTTCCATATGGTTGTATATTATATATACACATAATTAAATGTAGACAATGACCTCCAGCACATTCCATAACTAGCAAACCATACCTAGGAGGGGTGTAACTTACATTTTTACCCCCTCAAAACACCCCCTGGCAAAACGTAACTTACATTTTTCCTTACCCCCCCTTCCCCCAAAAAATGTAAGTTACATTTTCCGAAGGCCCCGCCCCCATTCTTCCACCTTCATTATATAAGGGGGTTGTGATGTTATAACTGGGCAAAGTAGGGGCGATGTCCACTTATACCTCGAGTTATGTAATGCCTATTGTTAAATTTGTGGATGCCATGGAATCATGGAAGACAAACGAAAACAACACATATCCCGGAATCCCGCGCCTTCGGTCCAAAAATCCGTGCAGATTTTCTCATGGAAACCGCTAGAGAATCTAACTTGGGATTTCTAGCCAGTGACATGTTAAATTGCCATGTTCAAGTCAACAAATGCATCTTCAAAACCCCTGAAAACCATGTTTTAGAGGGTGTGTCTGGATACCTTCAAACAACTTTTGGGGTGGCTCATGAGGCTCAAAATTTGGATTCGGATTGATTTTATCACAACTATACCATTCATGGGCATCCCTAGTTTAAGACATGTTTGTTGGGAAAAAAAACTCTGGTGATTTACCATAATTAACTATGGAACATCACTATCTTTAACCTTTAAATTAACTATAAATGAGCTATGGTCCATAGCAAAGTGTTAAATTTATCTCAGTTTCCCAGATGTAAACCTTCCATTTTGAAAATGTCCCATGCATCGTTGATATCGTAATATTATCCAATGGACGTGTTCAAGCATCTTCATCAAGTCTAACGTACTTGAATATAGCTATATAAATCTAACCATACACAATAGTAGTGGTCATATGCAAACAATGATACCTACATAATAACAATAATAACAATACCCTCTGGTAATTCAATATAGCTATTAAACATGACCAGTTATAGTGGAATTTCCCATTAAAGATGGTGGATCTTACAATTGTTTGGTTGTTAACGTTTACCAGGTCGGGTAATAACTATGGCCAATCTCGTGCATCACCAGGTCCGGCACCTGTCCCAGTTCTTCCAACTCTTCCGCCATGGTCTCAACGGAAACATCGCGGACGACCACGGGAGTGCGCCTCCGAAAGTCACGACCGACTCGCACGTGCCAACATGCCACGAGGCCACGGGAGACTACGGGAGTGCGAATGCAAAGTCTAAAATCTGTCAATGGGAATTCCAGGATCCTAAATTGGAGGTACTGTACCATTTAAGGCCATATTTTGTGGGGATATTCCCTTACATAGGCCTTATATAGGCCTTATATATTATATGGTAGGTACCTCCATCCTGGAATGGCTATTGAATCTGGTTATCATGAAATCTGTCCTAATCATTATTACTATCATCATCGCTATCATGAACAAACTATTGGTGTTATCATCGATATTGTTACTGTTCAGATGTTGCCTTTTAACCTGATCATCATGATGCGTATCACTTATTAGTAGTGACATTATCATTGTTATATTATATAATATGATGATCATATATGATTAATTACATGTGCATCCTTTCCAATTTCAAACAATATCAAGGAAAGGAAAGGAGTCATGGTTTGCGGGCTTGTTCCTCAACAGCAACTGGGAAGTCATCCCGCAGGGTTTCTCAAAAAATCCCAGGTGGGATCATAACCCGTCAGTTGAGAATCAAAAAATATCAAAAACATTTGGGGATGGGTCAAAACCCTGGTACCTAGTGAACCCCAAAATAGCTGGTAAATGGATGTTCATCCCACTAAAAATTGTATTAATAGGTATTGATCCATACCCAAATATCAAAAACATTTCAGTCAAACATTTTTTCCTTCATGTACTTACCTGTACTATTCAATACTATTCATTTCCGGGTAAATTCATAGTCTGACCATCCGATAAATCACCAGTTTCCATATGTGTTCCTTCATGTTTACCGTCAACTATGGTTTCTTCTTGATAGATCTTGATAGCTGATAGCTTATAGCGATTCTCCAACCAAACGCCTTTGCAAGATTGCCCAGATCTCAACCATTCGACGTCGCTGAGCTCATGATGAAATGTTATCGAGATTACCCTCCGGTAAACTAACATTGCTGTTGAAAATTGCCATTTGTAGTGGATTTACCCATTAATAGCATGGTGATTTTCTACAGTTACAAGTATGTTAGTTTACCAAAGGGTACCGTATCCCCACTGCAACGCATCGGAATTTTATCTTATACAACATTTTGTGGCTGAAATCCCTTTTTTTTTCTCACTTGAATCACCATGAATCACCATGAAAAAAAACAAAAAAAAAAAACGCTTCAGTTGTATCCCCAGCTATATCTGATCCACGGTCAAATCACCATATGATTTTTTCAGCTCCCATTGAATCCCATTTATGGATCGATATGGGGGATGGTGGATTCTAAATATCCATAAATGATCCATAAATTCAATATTTAATTAGTATTTATAGTACCCATATGGATCCTTTCTTTTACCAACATGATACATCTTCAACCAAAGATTCACCATATGATCTCCATATCACTATATCCAGAAATCATCAACCATCCCGTATATTGATGATATTGTGGATGGTTGCGAAATCCTGCACCAGTTGATAGATGGTAAACATCCCATTATTTATAGGTTTTCAACCATCTTTTTGGTGGTTTATCGGATTTCTTCTTCCATCCACAGTATTAACCCATAATGTGGTTAAAACAATGTCATAAACCACCCATTGGGGAATGGTTTACATATACCACCTATAAAAATGGTGATGACTGGGGGATGGTTTATGACATTGTTTTAACCACATTATACCGTCTATGTATGGCTATGTACTAATGATATATTGGATGGGAATAATGGATATAAAATAATACACGTATATGTAATATAACTAGTATTTATTTGGCTTTCCATAGTCATGGGGGTACCCCAAGCTGGATGGTTTGTAAACTCTTTGCATTGTTTTAACCACATCATATGGGTATGGGTCAAAATTAGGTACCCCAAAATTATGGATGGTTAATACTAAACTAGACATTCACATCTGTGGTCCCACATCGGTCTTCCATTTTGACCCACATCCATATTGCTTTACCATTGTTTTACCATACCCTCTGGTAATTTAACATAGCTATTGAAAATGGCTATTTATAGTGGATTTTCCCATTAAAAATGGTGATTTTCCATAGTTATGTTAGTTTACCAGAGGGTAAATCATTCATCAACGCCCGTCTTGGTCGCCCCACCTGGTCGAGAGGATCTCCGCATACTTGGCACAATCCTCCGCCAGGCGTCGGAGCAGGTCACGCGCCACGGAGCTGCCTCGGACGGTTTCCGTGGAGTCGTGAACCGGCCGTGTCTGGACGGGCCAGACGGATATAGTAATAGTTATAGATATTTAAAACGTTAAAACGTTATAGTTATAGTAATAGTTCTGTTATAAGTTATAGTCTTAGTTATAGTTCATATAATTATAGTTTGTGTTTCTTGGAAAACAAAAACACTTGATAGCTATTTACATATATATATATATACATATTTATTATATTATATCAATCGTGTTTATGATAATTATAAAGTATGATATTTATTCTACTGACAATACTATAGTATATATCCCCCGAATAGATAGAAAGGTGATTTATTACTTTCATTCACTATTTAGTGGGAAATTACTGCTCTTTTTGCAGGGGTGTACTATATGAGTACTGTTCGTTTTTTAGTCATGATAGTTATGATTGTTATATTAATCCTTTATATAACAGTTATAATGATAGTTTACGTGTATCGTATTTACAATCAATATGATAGTTGTGATACTTACAATACTTTTGATACAGTGGATGGAAGAAATCCTACAATCGGCTATAGAGTCGAGAAAATGGGTACAATTCTGCACGTCAAAATGTTCGGCCTGGTCTCCAGAGCATTCATGATAGTTATTCGTGTGGTAGGTATAAAAGGCAACAGTAGATTCAATCATATATCAACTATCAATACGAAACTCGTTCGGGTAAAACTAGTAGGTATTAATCTGTATTAATACAACACTGTGTAGATTCCATTTAATTGGCATTTGAAAACTGACAATTTAGGATGTTACCAATTTAGCCACTATAAAACGCTAGATATGGATTTATCTGAAGGGCTGATTTGGGGGAAATTATCTGGAAACCCTGGTTTTACCTGTGTTTACCATGAAAAGGACGAACTCCTACATGGATGGTACCAAGTAAGGGATACCGCAAGTGGCAATGTCGGCAATAAATCATCGGATGGCTTCAGTTGATTTATCAGTTGAATCAAGTATCAAACACTATATAGTATATCAATGGGTAGGTTTAAGGGAAAAAAACATACAGGACATCATTGTTAAATGTTCTTTCAACTAATTCAGGGACTTGGAGATTCTAGTTTCAAGTTTCAAGTTTTGGGGCAATGTGACAAATCCCAAAAAACGATCAATTTAAAAGTGCGAATGGTATATGATTGGGTCAACATTAGTTCGAGTTTTCCTACCTGGGATCGGTTGATAAACTCTTCCATACAAGTCCTATATCCTACCCTCTGGTAATTTAACATAGCTATTGAAAATGGCCATTTATAGTGAGTTTTCCCATTAAAAATGGTGATTTTCCATAGCTATGTTAGTTTACCAGAGGGTATTGATCAATCATACCTTTATTTTCGTTCCTGGGTCGTGTTTCCAAAGAACGCGGCATGATGAAAAAAAAAAAACGTCCGCGAGTTCACCATCACCCTTTTCATAAGATGAATTTTTGTTGAAAGCTGGGTATTTCTGGTGCTATTTCCACCAGCTTGACTCTCAAAAGAAGCTGGTTGGTGGTATACCTACCCCTGAAAAATGATGGAGTGAAAGTCAGTTGGGACTATGAAATTCCCAACTTTTCATGGAAGTCATAAAATTCCATGGTTCCAAAGATTTCCAGTCACCACCAACCAGGAAATATTCATCGCCCAAGTCATCGCTTAAAACGCTGGACACTTCACCGGAGGTCTTCGCTGGGGAAAATCAACAGAAACCCAGAACTGGCACCTTGGGGAATTCACCACTGGCTTGATATTACCCAAGAATTTCCAGAAAACCCAGATGTTTTACTATTTACCATGGGTTTTACCATCCAAATCTAGTCATGTCATGTTTATCAAAAGCCACTTGGCGATCGTACTGGCGTACTCTCTGGTCATGAAAATAGGGATGCTCAGACTGTTCAGTCCCTAAGGATATATGGTAAATCTGGTAAACCTCGTGGTAAACCTCCTGGCCAACTCGTTTGTTCACTGCGCGTTCAGCTCAGCCAGCAAGCGTTGACCCATTTCATCCCATTTCCATGTCAAGTCTCGAGTGCTGAGATGCCCGGAGAGGTCAAAGGGAGAGTCGAAGTGACACCTCTGGGCCTGGTCAAAGGTGATGACCTTTTCATTTCCCAGTGATTCCAGTGATTCCAAACTGCCATGATAAAAAAACATCATGTACTGGTAGTACCCTTCGTTAAAAACTACCAGTAACATGGATGGGATGTGGGAAATACTGCCATGTTTTATGTCGGCAAACAATGGTAAACATCCATAAATGGGCCATGTTCATTACTCCATATCACCGGGGTCAACATCCCAGTCCGGTGGATGAACGAAAGAGCTTTCTGAAGCATACCCTCCGGTAATTTAACATAGCTATTGAAAATGGTCGTTTATAGTGGATTTACCCATTGATAGCATGGTGATTTTCCATAGTTTTTTGTATGTTTACCAGAGGGTACATCACATATACCCAGACCCAGTTGGTAGGTTGGAATGGTAACCACCCAGTGATCCGATTACTCGGTGACTCGGTTCCCACTTAAAACGACCGTTCTTCGACCCTTCGAAAACGCTGGGTATGGCTGGCATCCTGAGGGATCTGGGAGAAAATGTCAAGTCCCTCGGCCTAAAGCCATGAAAACAGCCATGCTACAAGATGGCCTTGATTTTTGAGCCCTGCAAGCCATTTCATGCATTTCCCGTTTTCCGGTTTTAGCTGTGTGGAATCTCCACGGTCTTGTTTTTTTTCCACTTTTTGGCGCCTCCTTCCACGAGAGAAAACGGCTCAAGTCGAGATGTGCCAAGATCTCCTGCGGATGCTGCAAGAACGGTTGCTGGGTGAACTGGGTTTCAAACTGCTGAGAACAACATCAAACTACTATAGTTGATATTGTTTTTTTGCTATTGTTATCTTCTATAACATAAAAGTACTATAGTTACTATAGTTGATATTGATTTGTTGTTATCTTCTATAATTCTATAACATAAAAGTACTCTAGTTGATGTGTATTTTACGTTGAATCACTGAAGTGTTTTATCGGTGTCAAGTGTTCTTCCAAGACGGACCATGGTACCAGGGGTACCAGGATTCAGAGCATGTCATCTCGGAGTGATCCCATTCCATCGCAAGGGGCCCTTGCCAGGACCCAGGCATGGTGAATTGGTGAATTGGGCGTGTCATCCCATTTGCTGCTTCATTTCTCGTGTGTCTATGAAAAAATCTCCAACGTTCCATAGGGTGATTCTGTTTACTGGACATCTTTGCCATTTTCTGAATTTCTTAGTACAGGGCTGCTCCCAACATCCCAGTTATTAGGGTGGTAAATTGGGTAAAGAAAAAGGCAAAACCACTCATTTGCCGCCCTTGTGGCCATGATTTACGTACAGTAGGTTGGAGCAATCCTGTAGTAAAGTCCATCTTTTTTCTCGGCGACATCTCCAGTTCTGTTGTTTTTGAATCCCCTTTTTTTGTTGCCGCCTAGCTCCCCAATGTGAAATCGATGTCTTTCATGAACTGATCTTCAGCACATCTCCATGGCCACAATGGCGAAGTCCCACTATTTTTTTCGTGGTGAAATCCAGATCGGTAAAATCAGCTCCCAAAGTCTCATGGTTGAAACACCATCGTATCCATAGTCCCTATTTTTCGTGGTGAAATCCATCATTTGCTGCTCAAAAATCATGTCACCTCCCCATCTTTGAAGGGTAAAACATGTCAAAATTTGACCGCCTGTGAAGCTGTCCTTCCCAGCGTGCTCTGCAAGCTCTTCCGGGAGCTGTCTCAGACTGCAGCGATCGTCCTGGTTGCGGAGCTTCGGAAATCCCGGGACGATGGTGGTGGAGGTATGGGTGAGGGTTAACAATCAACAAATCATCCCAATAATAAATACTGGGATATAGCATGATATAGCCATATGATCCATATGATGGTTAATAATAATCGTTCATGATGGTTAATGATGGTTAAGGATGGTTAATGATGGTTAATGATGGTTAATGATGGTTAATGATGGTTAATGATGGTAAATAATAAATACTGGTTGGTGGTTAACCTACCCCTCTGAAAAATGATGGAGTTCGTCAGTTGGGATTATTCGTCCCAATATATGGAAAAACAAAAAATGTTCCAAACCACCAACCAGAATAATAACAATATTTATCTGAAAATATTGCTAACAATGATGAATCGAAATTGAGTGATTAACCATCAACAAATAATAAGAATAAGAAGAATAATGATTGGATGAATCATGAGTAATCCCTCTCAGGATATAATGGGAGGATTTCATGGGGATTGAATTTGGGACACATATGTATATTATATTATATATGTATATATATATCACAACAATTGGGGTTTATTCTCAATCAAGCATGGCTGGCTAGGAAATCCCATAGATTGTGTGTTGAATACCTTACATCATGGGACTGGTGGATCTTACATTCCATCAACCAGCAGATGGAATGCAGGGGTATCCTTTCAAGCCCTGAAAAAGGGCTTGTCTGAAAAAGGGATATTTATAACTTATATAACCAAACAAAATTGGGATTGAAATTGTAGATAGAAGCACCAAGATCAGTTTGGCGTTGTCCAAACATGATGGATCTTTCGTTGGCCATCGCAGATACCTAAATTGGCGGTACCAAAAAAATACGGCCTATGTATTTTATGGCTACATAAGGGGTAATGATATAATGATTACGGGGGTAATTTTTACGGGGGTAAGCCCCCAAAAGGTGGCCTTTTTTCTATGTTTTTAATATGGTACAGTGCCCCAAGGGTCTGAACATCCCATGATCTAAGAGGCCCCAAGAAACGTTTCGGAATGGGTCAAAAACTGATGATGATCCCCAGTTTAAGGCTGCGAGTTTTAAGGACTGTTTAACGGATGTTCATGAAACCTGCATGACTTTACGGTGAAGATGTTTTGATCCATATATGATAGGAAAAAGAAACAGATCGATTTCAGCGGAAGTAGATACCCTGCAAAAACAAAAAAGCGTTCATCAAATGCTTTCCCGTCACTTTTCGTGAGCTCTGGGAAGCCATTCACGCCATTCACCATACATTGGTCAGTCGGCCAATTTCCATAGCAAACTCTTGACATCATGACATCTCCTGGTTGGAGGTTGACCTACCCCTCTGAAAAATGATGGAGTGAAAGTCAGTTGGGATGATGACATTTCCAATATATGGGAAAATGAAATTCATGTTCCAAACCACCAACCAGTCTCTTGAATGCTGTTTTGAATGGGTTCTCTGTGATGTTTCGAGAGTAAACCAGGGATGGTTTTGCTCCAAAACGATGGGGTTTTTTGGGACAGGGAATCCAGCGCCTTAACGCTTGCGTTAGTCAAAAACCACAGAGTCCTAAGTCAAAAGCCTTGAGGATTTGCCTATGGGCCCTGTGGATTTACTGTTGCCATATGTTTGTCAAAAAAATGGCGTGCAAACCACCAACTAACATCAACATACATCAACAACCTCCCAAACCACAAAATTGAAGATCATCAATCACCCCGTCCAATGGACACAAACCACCAAGACCTCAAGCCATGCTTCGCCCTGGCCAAGTCTCCTGAGCTCTTCGACGAATTTCCAAATCTCCAGGCCTTGTGGCTCTGAAAACAGCAGGATGGTCCTCCGATTTTCCCTGAGGTCAAAAAAACTGAGGAATCACTAGCCCAGAACAATCAAACCCTAAAGTTGAATAGTTTTTTAGATACTGAGTATCACCAATTTTGCGGGGCGGCACAAGTATTTCACGCATTTCATGCGTGTTCATCTATGTTCATTGATCTATACACCTAGCTGCAAGCAGGAGTGGTTCAATACCAGTCAGCTCATCCATCTACTTCCAAAAAAAACAACCAAACAACTCGCCAGTCACTCAAAGTTATGAAAGTTACAAAAGGACTTAACATATGCCCAACTGTTAGTTTACCAGAGGGTATAAGTTGATTTATGTCCATAAGTGAGAGAAGCTCCGAAAATCGGTTTCTACCTCCATGTCATGCCACGACTGCGCCTTTTTCTCACGAAAGACCGCCGGCGGTCGCGGTGGGCTCGGGCCATTACCATCGAAAACTGTCTGAAGTATCCCTGTGATGTTGTTCAAAACAAGGTATGTTATACCTTATACTGGATAATTGAATGGGAAATCAACATCGTTTAACATGATAATATGGGTTTTAGTCCAAGAGCCCTATCTATATAATATGTGTTCGAGTATAACATAGGATACCTGTGATGGGTGTTAATACATATATATATATATATTAATCTACCATGCCTCCCCAAATGAACCAAGTAGGTTAGTAACCCTCTTAGAACGATTTCCAAGTGAAGGTGGCACCAAGTTTACACCATGAAATGAGTTGTGATCCAAAATCAAAGCAGGGATGTGTCATGAATGATCATGTGCATTACATTATGTGAATCATATATGGGTATTAATGTATGTTTATGTAATGCAAACATACTTGTGCTTAAATAGTCCCCAGTTGCCGCAAACATATTTATCACCAACGCGTATCATATTCACGACGTCAAATCCTACGCTGAGTGAGGCAAACAGAGAAGCAAAATCGCAATGATAAATGCGTTCAATTTTAATTAACCAACAAACAAATCGTGTCGGAACGAGTCTTGAATCATCTTAATGTTCTTTCGAAAGAAGAATAGGATGATGATACAGACCCATGGCAAATTGACATAAATAGATCTGTATATGTATACATATATATATATACATATGTATATGGGTATGGGTCAAAACCCAGGTATCCCAATGTCCATCTATTGGCAAGGTGATTTTACCTACAACGGGGATGATTTTCCATGATTTTCCTATTGACCCATAGCCATGTAAATCTGGGCAAATGATAAGAACTCACTAACCTGAAATGTTGGGCCATTTTGGGATGATTCCACTTGTTCACCATGATTCCAGGGTTCTGGAGAACAGTGAGGGCGTGATGAAATTTGCCCAAAGAAATTTGACGCTTTTGCCTTCTCTGTTTTCACCTTCACTTCTTCCATGCTTTCCTCTTGATCTCCTGAGATGCAGCACCGTGATCAGCCCCACAGTTGATAGATTTCTTAAGACTTTCAATGGGTTTTATCGGGATTTAATGGGTTTTCATGGTTTTTCAAGGATTTATGATTTATTTATATATATATATGTGTGTATATATATATATGTATATATATATACTGGTAGGACAAAAGTTGCGCTTGTTGAGCTTCCCACAGTGAACATGTTTGGTTTCTTTTTCTGCACACCCTTTCCCCGTAGAATCCTAGCATGGAGCTTTGTCGTACCCCGGCACACCTGCCACACAAAACGGACTTGAAAATGTCATCCGCAGTTGACCGAGACGGATGTTTTGCAAAGTTTTAAAGAAGAATAAACTTTGTTCCTCCTGAAGTATATATTATCACTATATAATATATGTTTAATAGGATTCTGCACACTGCAAACTAACCAAGAAAAACAAACATCTGTTGCTAACTTCAGTTCCCCTCTGATAATCAGCTGCGCAGGCTGTTAAGTCCCCTTTAGTGCATGATTTTCGGGCCCAGCCATGTTTGATGACACCATTTCGCGATGTGTCCGGTACTTTTCGAGCCTAGAATGACTTGACCCTGGCAACGTGTGGTGTCTCACCAGGGTGGGTTTTACAGCGCCATCATGTCCAAGTCGCTCATCTTAGGTTACCATCAGATAAAACACCAGTCATCTGCAGAAATCAAGTCTACCAACCTTCCTCTACGGCCCCCTGGTCTGGTTCGAATTTGGCAACCCCATGGATGCTGTGGTGATTTTCAAATTGAATTAAAGGATCGCCTTCCCGTAGTCAACAAGGCAGAGAAGAGAAGTCGGATAATGAAAGTCGGGTGAAGGGGCAAGTTATCGGAAAAGTCGAAAGGCTGAAAAGAAGAAGTGTCAGATGCAAATAGAACCGGATGACGAAGATCGATAGGCTGGACAGATTGGATATGATGGCAAGGACAGATACAATCCATAGGCTGGAAAGGACTAAACAGGATAGAAAGGCTAGTTGGAATTAGAGAGGATGGATAGAAATGTGGGCCCCCCCGCAGTGATGTTGGTTTATAAACCCCGTTAGAATTACACGTTTTTTTAGCATAAGCCATAGTCATTGGAGCTATACCCTCTGGTTATTTGACATAGCTATGGAAGTCATGGCCCGTTTAGATGATTCGCATAACATGACGAGTTGCCATTCTTCAAAATGCTGTTCCACTTCGTTAGGTTCAACAACCGTTTGGGGGTCATTGATACCGGGGCTTGGAGCAACAAACGATGGGGGGTTCCTTTATGGGGAATCCCCAAAAATGGCGGTGGAATCCCTTTATTGCAGGGATAATCCCTCACAAAAATGGATGAGAGCTGGGGGTGTCCCCATGGATTGGAAACCTTCATAGAATTTCACACATACATCGTTTCATGGATATATGATAGATAGATCAATAAATAGAAATAAATAGATAGATTGACTCCTAGAGTTTTTTCCCCCGCACAGCCACTCACTCGGTCATCAGGAATTTTGGGCTATCATCTGGTAATTTATCAGAGTTTACTATGGAAAATCACCTTTCAAATGATAGGTAAATCAATGTAAACCAAACAGCTATGGCTCATGTTCATCCATATGTCAAATAGCTAAATCCTAAATTGCAAGAGGCTTTTTTTGGTGGTTTCCTAAGTCATAGGGGTACCCCCAGTTCTCATCCGTGACTCCTTGGAGCGGAAGGAACAGCGTTTTTGCGTCCGCATCTCCTTGTCGAAGTAGCCCGGGCAGCTAAACCAGCCTAGCAACCCAGGGCCCAGACAAAGCGAAAAACGTTGGGCAAGTTGAGAACGGTGGATTCCCCTTCTGGATTCAATTCTGATATCAACATATTATATAGTTAGATTTAGATTGTATATATTAGATATATATTGTCTATCTTCTGTATATTCCCATATCATCAAGCAACAGGGGTTTAGCAACCACTGCTCACTTGTCTACCTCTAGGCCCAATCCCATAAGCAATACGACCCATCCTCCAAAACAGATTTTGGAAGCTTAGAGCCCTGAAGGACTGAAAGAACCCCCAAAAAAGAATCCAAGGTTTGCTTCAAACTTGGGACTGCCGAATTTTGATATCCATTTCAGGATCTACACTTTCAAAACAAGTGTGGGAAACAATCATTTCGTTTTCAAGGGGACATATTTTGGCCGGGCCAGGTTCATAGGTTCATGTGCCTCTGGAAAAAACTTGACGTGATGACCCTCGCTTTTAGGTCTCTCAGGTCTTGGCTATCAGCATCCCATATTATCGAATAAGCATCTGTTTGAAACATCTTGAAACCACAAAAAAATGTCTAACCCTCTGGTTTTGTCAAAATAGCTATTGTTTCAGCCATGGCCCAGTCGAAATAGTTGATTTACCCTGATTTACCCATTCATAGCCATGTAAAAATGGTGATTTTCCAGTTCGTTTTATGTGAACCTTTACCAAACGGGCTCAACATCACCCCCTTTAGCCGCCTTGCCTCCCAGTCTGCTCCAATGAATCTGGCCAGGCGATGGCCATCGGTGTCATGGAAAATTCCCCCATGGTGCGCAAAAATGGTCATTGGTCATGGGAAAAAATGAGAAAACTAATGCATATATAGTTTATGATATGCTTATGATCTTTGTAATGCAGGGTTTACCATGGTTTACCCAAGAATCAAAGACCGAATTTCGATGAATTTGTAAAAGAACTGCACATTTTTGGAAATTGGAGACGAACCCAGTGGCCCAACCCATGAGAAGCATTGTCGCAGCATACGAACATCCCTTAGGGTACGAAGCAAAGGCTCGCAGTTCTGCGTGAAAATGGTGGGTCTACTCAACAATTCATGTTGAACTGCGTCAGTTGCGTCAGTTCACCCGGTGCCCTTCTGTGAAACCACCAAAGTAGCTGGGATTTATGGATGTTCATCGCCTGAATTATCGTATTGATGTAGGTTTTGACTCATCCAGATATCTACCCTCGCACCCTGCTCACATCCCGGGACTGCGGTCGCTCAAACGACGTTCAGTTCGTTTACGTTATAAAGTATGATTTACTTACCAGGTTTGCGCAGACAGATCTTGTACCGTCCCACAAAAGTGGGGTTGGGGATGGGGTGGGGTGGGGTGGGGTATTAACGTTCATGTACATGTTCATACATCACCAACTTTAACATCACATCTGATCTATCTTAGACGATACGTCAGGGCTACGTTGGGGGTGGGTGGGGGGGGTTGCGGTGGAGTATTAACGTTCATGCACGTGTTCATGCATCATCGAGTTTAACATCACATCTATCTATATCTATCTGTCTTAGACGATACGTCAGGTCTACGTTTGGGGGTGGGTGGGGTGGGTTGGGCGAGGTGGGGTATTAACGTTCATGCAACACGTTCATGTATCATCGACTTTAATATCACATCTAGTTACCTTAGACGTCAGGAATACGTTGGGGGTGGGTGGGGTGGGGTGGGGTATTAACGTTCATGTACATGTTCTTACATCACCAAGTTTAACATCACATCTATCTATCTTAGTCTTAGACGATGCGTCAGGGCTACGTTGGGGGTGGGTGGGGTGGGGTGGGGTGGGGCAGCGCGGGTCAACTTCTGTGCATGTGCTAATGCATCGGTTCCTTTGTCTGATTATTGCCCCCCTCCCCTCACAGACTTCCGCGGAGGCGTAGATCCACCCGTTGGGGTGGGGCCACACCTGCATCGTAGCGATGTGGGCACAGAGGAAGAGCTACTATCTGTTGCCCCGTGCCTCCCCATCCGAAAAGTCATCTTCCATGTCGGATGGGATCGCTGTGCCAGGCACCTAATGCAACACGATTGCTTGTAGGAATCCCAACATGAGAAGCTGGTGTACTAATGCCACCCGCCTCCGTCGACTGATCGTCATCGGCGGAGATCTCCGATTCCGACTCTGCGTCCGTCCTCAGGCCACGCGGCGACCGCATTTGACTTGGACCTTGAATATCAGAAGATCTGCCACTGAAGACCAGATTTTACACCTGAGATCGCCACAGCTCTTCCGGGGCAAACGTGATGCGGTAGTTGCGCGAGTACGCGCAGCGAAGGCCTGGGTCTGCAGCGGGCCGGCTATGTTGGAGTCTAAACGGCGTGAGCCTGAGGCTTCGACAAATGTATACCACATTGTCCCCATGATGCGAAGGGTCCTCCCCAACGTAGTTGAAATCGAGGTCGCACGCCTGCGGCGATGCTCGGTCCAGTGATAGCTTACTTTGCGTGGCGCAACATACCGTCGCCTCAAAGTGGCCTCCAAAGCGTTCCAGAACGAAGACCTCGGTCCAGCGGACTTGGAAGGCAAGTGCCTCTCATACAGCAAACACAAAGTCTTACGACAAGCTCTTAGTGGCGCGCGTGGCGAGCAGGCATCTGTCCTTGTAGTATTAACGTTCATGTACATGTTCATACATCACCAAGTTTAACATCACATCTATCTATCTTAGTCTTAGACGATACGTCAGGTCTACGTTGGGGGTGGGTGGGGTGGGGTGGGGCGAGGTGGGGTACTAACGTTCATGCACACGTTCATGCATCGTCGACTTTAATATCACATCTAGTTATCTTAGACGATACGTCCGTGTTTCAAGGTTCTACACAAAATATATCACAAAGGGAGGTTGGTTTGAGCGCGTTAAATCATCCAGATTTATCTAGCTGGTGGTTGCAACCACAAAAAAAACGTCCGTCAGTTCGTACTGTTATTCAGGAAAGGTCGAAAAACGACACTTGCTTGCAACCTCCAACCAGTCAAGGTCGGTTGGCTGGTTATTCTTGAGTGTAAGCCCTATCCAATGTTCATGGTTAAGACTAACAATCTACATTCTTCACAAAGCATCTAATACCATATTTGAAGCCACCCCTTTCATGGTTCCACTATTGTTACTCAAGGTCAAAAAGGATTATTGCTGGTGGCTGTTGGTGATTGTTGATGTCATACCATTGACATCCCGTCTGATGCTTTACATATCTTTCAAACATAACATCTATCGAAAATGGTTGATGATAAACACACAAACAAGCTAATTTCACCAGAACCATTTAAAAAAAATCAATAGTTCGTTAGTAATTACAAGAAGTTATACGAATTGGGATGGAGATTGTATGTGAAAAAAACAACGAGTATTGAGATGGGATTAGCTCCCCATAACCAAGGGCCATGCCTTGAATTAAATCACTATTGGTTGCACTATGGTGTAATTATTCCTCAACAATATTTAATTTCTTAATTATTCACATTACTCACATTTATTCACCAATAGTATCCCCATGGTTGGAAGATATGCTAGTCACCACTCTTGTAATTATCCCAATTATTTTCACCAAAATATTTCATATTATCCCCATCATTTTCCCAGTATTCCCAATGAACCACTATTATCCCAGCATTATCCATTATTCCGATTCATTATCCCACTATTATCCCACTATTAATACCACTATTCCCATTAACCACTATTACAGCCACCATTATAACCACTGTTTATTTCACATTATTCCCCATTGACCATTATTATAATCATTCTCACCACTTCAATTGGACAGTGCTGGAAAGCGCCTGTCCATTCTGACACTTGGGGCAGCTGGGCAGGGCGCCCAAGACGCGTCCCTCGGCCACGCGCGAGACCAACTCCTCCTGGTGATGTCATCGATCAAAGCTGTCGAAAGGAAAATCCAAAGCCAGAAGTCCTCCATACGGTATGTTGTTGAGAAAATGTAAATAAATATGTATATGTATATATATATGTATGTATATATATATACACACATATTTGCCGAAGGAAGTTTAGAAGTCAAACTTCCGACAAGATGGACAGATGAAAAGCAGAGCAGGGAAGAGGCAGAGAGAAGAGAAAGATTAGAAGAAAGAAGAGTAGAAGAGAAAGAGCATAAGAAGAAAGAAGATGAAGATGCGTGAAATGGTAGGAAAGTCGCGAAACACTGCGTTTTCCCAATGATTTGGGGCTCCGGAGGGTCGAAAAGTAGGCTCGCTAAAGCGGCGGGTGCGAAGCCAGCTGGCCAGATGAGAGATGAAAAATTGCACGCCGTTGTGGCGCGAAGATGCGCGAAGCACATTTCCAAGTCAAAATGTACAAAACACCTCAGCGTCGGACGACTTTTGGCAGTTGTGATGTCGAAAAAGTGCACGCCGTTGTGGCGCGAAGCACATTTCCAAGTCAAAATGTACAAAACACCTCAGCGTCGGACAACTTTTGGACGTTGAGATGTCGAAAAAGTGCACGCCGTTGTGGCGCGAAGCACATTTGGAAGTCAAAATGTGCAAAACACCTCAGTGTCGGACCACTTTTGGAAGTTCAGATCTCGAAAAAGTGCACGCCGTTGTGGCGCGAAGCACATTTGGAAGTCAAAATGTTAAAAACCGTGGATGCAAGTCTGGCAATGACCAGCGCAGCGCCACAGTGTCAGCTTACACAAGACTTCGTCTTTGTAAGTCTTCTTGCCTTGGATTCGTTCAAGGCACACAAGTCATAAGGGGTCAAACAAGCCTACGATTTTTCACTGCTTACGGCACATACCCTCAGGAAACGCAAGGTTTACGCCAAGGTTTCTCATGGCAAGCCCAAAACTGACGTGACTTGAAAGATTTCTCAGTCTCTTTCCAAGTATCGGATCCGGAGCCATGAACACGTCAAGCAAAAGCAGCTTTGGCCGCTCCAGCCCCGGCCCGTGTTCTACAACCACATCCCCTTCGTGTATGTCCCAAAGCACATGGTGCTTTGCGATGCAGTACTGGGTGACGTCCAGGACCTGCTTTGCCACCTGACCGGCATTCCCCAGGAAGGCTTGTCTCAAGATGGATGGCCCGAGAGTGCAAGGCGTGCAAAATTACAGCTGTGAGGGGGTGAGTGAAATGGAAAGCGAGGGTGAGAAAGGAGTTTAAGAAACCAAGAAATTATATGAAATTATTATGTGAACAAATGTGAGACGCGCAGATGTGAGATGTGTGGAACCGAGGGGTATATGCGATGTTCATGTTAGCATACCTGCGTGTGAAAAGCCTCAGATGTAAGATGCATAGATGTAGGGTTGTGCGATCCGTACGCACAATATACGTGGATGAGAAGTTGTGACCATGTGAGGATGTGACGATACGAGGCATGGAGGAGTGTTGCATGCTTTCTGGCGCGGGCAAACATAAAATTGAAGAAATTGAAGGCCCTCTTTGGAGCAAAACCGAGGGAAATAAGCTAAAACTAAAACTGAAACTATATAATAAGCAGTCATCTGAAAACCAATTGGTGGGGACAGAACCTAAGTTTGTAGATTGCATTGGGAAAACCTAAGTGAAACTGCATGAACACGCGTTTGAAAACCCTTTTTGGGGGGGTACCTATATCTGCAGGTGTTATTGGAAAAATAAGGTAACAGGTAACACTGCTTAGACATCCGTTTGAAACCCCTTTGGGGGCAGGACATCAACTTGCAGAATGTAAAAAATGTTACTACAAGAATTTGAAAGCGCCTTTCGGGGCAGGACCTGCGTCTGCCGGGTTTACTGAAACAAATACCGGTCAAATAATTATACCACACCGCATACACATATGCGCACTTTTGCACGCAACCACCCTCTACACACGGATTTACACAGAGACATTCCTTCTGACAAACACGGATGGGCCTTCACATACCTTGCGCAGAGATGCTTTTGCACACAGACACCTTCACACACACTTTCAAGAATGAGGCGAAACTATACACTTTGCATGAAAGGTCGGTGTGACCTTTCTCCATCCAAACATCAAATTGGCAGCCGGGTATGTTTGTTTTAAGATGCACTGCGTCACTCGCCGCTCTGCTGGCTCAAGTACTGAGACCAGACTGACACTGGAGCGATCACTGTGAAAACAGCTGAGAGACTGAACGCAGACTGCACCATGTGTTGCGCCGAACTGTTCCCTACCACTTTGCAGTTTGTTTGTATCGTTGGAACATCATCCTTCCGGTGTGGAAAACTAAGGCCAAGTAGAAACTGCTGAAATTATCGTAATGCTGAGAAGATGCTGAGATGTCGGACAATTACTGACTGGGAAACAAGGCAGCGTAACAGCTTGGTCAGCAATTTTACAATCCGTGGGCACGTCAGGGTGATCATTCCTGATATCCCATCCGGGACCATAGCTTTGTTGCGCACAGTAGGTCAAGGATGCCGTGTGTCCCTGCTTCAGTGACATGCAGCCCAGTGTCAAAGTACCAAGGCGACGTGAATCAGGAAGCCATCAGGGTCGAAGATCCATTTCTCCAAAAGGAGAAGCATGTAAAAGAATGACGAAGACATATTTTATATCTATAGGGGCGTGTGCGCACAGACTTGCTCAGGACATCTCAGAACTGTCATTGCGAATTCTGGTGTGGAATGCATCTTACGTGCGAAAACAATCCAATTAAGCCTGACGAGAAGTGTTCCGTGAGAGGACCTGAACAGGGTTCAAGAAGCTATCATCACCACGGCCAGTGCAGAAAGTATTTTAATTGGAAGCTGACCCTTGCCCTTTCCAAAAAAAACAGATTGCGACAACAGTGCCGGAAATGAGGAAACGATGTTCCGGTTCTGGGCTTAGCCGGTTGCCACCAAAAAAGGAAATAGATCGGAAGCAAACCCTGAACAACAGGTAATTAATCACAACTACGCAGGTACGCCAGACTGGCCAAGTCCGGTATCACAGTCGATGGTAAGTGTCTTGGTTGGTAGGAGACTTACCATGATGCTCCTGCCCCCTGCAGACTTAGAAGTTTTACCTCGCTTCAGATGGTTCACACACACATCCACACACTTGCTCAGAACAATCTTTGCGAATTCTGATGTGGAATGTATCTTACGTGCAAAAACACTCCAATTACACCTGACAGGAATGGGTCGGTGAACTGACCCGAGAAAAATCGAAAAGGTACCATCGCCATAGCCTATGCAAGATGACAAGTGTGACAGAGTGCGAAAACCGTGCAAATCGAGAAAATTGGAAACAAATTGTTTGGAGACGGCATGGTGGTTCTTGGGTTGGCCACATCCCATGTCCGAACATGAAGCAGGTACGTCGATCCAGCGGTCCAGATCGATATCACAGAATGTCATAGCCGTCTTCGTCGGCTGCAGAACTATGACATTCCCTGCAGCCCCGTGCAATAAATGACAATTTGAAACGATACCAGGGATCAAAGAAATAAAGTGACCACAAGAATTGAAATTTGAAATTGTGAAACCTATAAGACCGGTGCTCAGCGAAAACAACAGGTAGAAGTTTTGCATCTATTCAGATGTTCCACACACACACACGCTTTTACTCAGACACCTTCCCACACACGCGGGCACTCACACAAACACACCTGCGCACGCTTTTGCACAGAACCACCCTTCGCGCGAAAGAGAGGCGTCGGACACAATAAAGTGATTTCGCCTGAAAAAATGCATCGGACGCGCGAAAATCGCAATTATCCGTAAGCGTTTTGACGCTCGACCCGCATTTCGTGCGAAAGAGTTGCATCGGACGTTTCAAACTCGTAATTTTCCGTCAGTTTTCTCACACGTGACCCCTATTTCGTGCGAGAGGGCTGCATGTCGTGGAATCCCGTTGCCACTGCCACTGCCTGCGATTTAAGGAAGAAACAGAAAAAGAGACACAGAGAGGGAGAGAGAGAGAGACGATGCAAGGTGAGAAGACATAAGGTGCGAAAGGGGAAAGGTGTGAAGATGTAAGCAGTAAAGACAAAAGCTTTAAGAAGTAAGGTGTGAAGATGTAAGGTGTGAACATGTAAGGTCTGAAGGAGTGAGGTGTGAAGATGTAAGGTGTGAAGATGTAAGGTGTGAAGATGTAAGGTGTGAAGATGTAAGCTGTGAAGACGTAAGCTGTGAAGATGTAAGGTGTGAAGACGTAAGGTGTGAAGACGTAAGTTGTGAAGATGAAAGGTGTGATGATGAAAGGTGTATAGACGTAAGCTATGAAGACGTAAGGTGTGAAGATGTAAGGTGTGAAGACGAAAGGTGGGAAGACTTAAGGTATGAAGGCGTGAAGGCGTAAAGTGTGAAGACGTAAGGTGTGAAGGCGTAAGGTGTGAAGACGTAAGGTGTGAAGACGTAAGGTGTGAAGATGTAAGGTGTGAAGACGTAAGGTGTGAAGAGGAAAGGTGTGAAGACGTAAGGTGTGAGTTGTGAAGACGTAAGGTGTGAAGATGCAAGGTGTGAAGATGTAAGGTGTGAAGACGTAAGGTGTGAAGACGTACGCTGTAAAGATGTGAGGTGTGAAGACGTAAGGTGTGAAGACTTAAGGTGTGAAGATGAAAGGTGTGACGACGTCAGGTGTGAAGATGTCAGATGTGAGGATGTGAGGTGTGAAGATGTAAGGTGTGAAGACTTAAGGTATGAAGACGTAAGGTGTGAAGATGTAGGGTGTGAAGACGTAAGGTGTGAAGACGTAAGGTGTGAAGATGTAAGGTGTGGAGACCAAAGGTGTGAAGACGTAAGGTGTGAAAGTGTAAGGTGTGAAGACGCAAGGTGTGAAATAGAGTGAAGACGTAAGGTGTGAAGATGTAAGCTGTGAAGATGTAAGGTGTGAAAATGTAAGGTGTGGAGACCAAAGGTGTGAAGACGTAAGGTGTGAAAGTGTAAGGTGTGAAATGGTGTGAAGACCTAAGGTGTTAAGATGTAAGGTGTGAAGACGTAAGGTGTGAAGATGTAAGGTGTGAAGACGTAAGGTGTGAAGGCGTAAGGTGTGAAGATGTAAAGTGTATGGAATAATTTATGCACAAAGCAGCTGCTTGCTTTGATTGACTTTTGTGCGCCATGCGTGGCACTCACAGCACCATCTTTAGATAACACGTTTGTGCCGCGCGTACCGTGGCCAATTGTGTGCAATTTTTGAACCTGTTGAGATGTTCCCCTGCACACCCGCACCCACACCAAAACCATTACAAACCGCACACCCGCATAATGGTTTGCAATGATTGGCCAGAAAGAAATCGCGCAAAAACAAATCAGATTACAGCAGCCGTGCTAGTACAAATTGCCTTTGTTGGGTGCCCCTGTGACACGATATGGGATCCTGTTTCAGCTTTATGAGCGACTCCGAAGTGATGGCCAGTCTGAGATGTGCAAAGTGTTGAAAATGAGAAAGCACGCCACACCTATTCAATAAGAGGGAAAACCAAGTGGTGGTTTGGATGCAGGTACGTCACGATGATCAGCCATGATATCCCAAGGAAACCATAGAGTCATAGAGAGTTTTATGGGGAACAGCTCTATGGGCCTTCCGTGCCCCCTGCGGAATGTACAAGTTTTACATCTTCCGTACAGACACTTTCACAGCCAAAAGGTTCACAATTGCACACTACCCGCACCTCAGTGCGACCGCTGAGCCCCAAGGTAGAAACAGCTATCTTCCATGGAGCACCGGAAACAAGCTGCCAAACGGTTGCGGCGCCAATGCGCTCCAATGGCCGGACCAGATTGGGGTGACCTGAGCAGAGACCGGACCTGATCCAGTGTAAACAACTTGTCCTTCGGGTGTGCAGCACGGCATCTTACAGCAATGCCTTTTTGCGAACATGCACTGCAAAGACATAAGAATCAAGGGCGACAAGTGCAAGTCTCAAATCATTATCGCATATCATATCACTGAGGCATACCTGTTGCTCGCGCATGTCTCACCTTTGCTTGCACCTGCTTCACCTCGACCCTGGTGATGCTTCATCCGTCTCGTCGGGTGTGTCATCCCATGTCACTTAAGATACGTAAGCCAAAGCACTAAGGGAGCAGGCCCTCTTGAATTCCAGTGCAAGGATGGGTTCCGGATCCATTGGCCCTCCAAAGCGTGGCAGCTTCACTGCCACAGGTTGCCCAAATCCTGAGAAAGCTCACCGCCATGGAGAGCACACTTGACACACAGCACTAGATGAGTAGGCACTGCCAAGTGCTGCTTGCATCTAGGCGGCTGCGGGCTAGGTAGACCTCGCCGAACACACTGCGGCCCAGTTGATGAGAAAGCTCCAAAGGCTCCTGCCACGGGAAACATGGGCAAGCCTCAGCACCTAGCACTGTCATGCAATGTCTGCAGCACGTGTCACTTAAAGCCGCATGGTGTTTAGTCTTGCTGGTCATGTTGCTCTGGCCTCCAGGTAGGCGCCGCAGAAAATGAAATCGATTGCGGCATTGCGGCGCTTCGCTTTCAACTGGTCCTGCGCTTTCACCTGGTC